ATATTACAATTAATTAAGGTTTTTTAGTTGAGATAAAAAAAGTCAATGGCACGAGCGGGATTCGAACCCACGATCTTCGGCTAGATACGCCGCTGCTCTACCACTTGAGCTATCGTGACCTCGATCCACTCGGACACCAACTTCCCATCTCAACCCCACCTTTTTGAATTTTCCCTCCTTTTTGCCATTTTTTCAATTTTTTTTGTATGTACAGAGTTGAGGAATTCCACATTACACATTCACACCAATAAATACATTCATTCTCAACACACCCTAAAAACAAAACATTACATCAGCACATTATAAAATGAAACAACCCGTTTTCTCCAAGAATCGGAACACGGGAGCTAAATCCTCCCTGCCGGGCTCAAGCAAAATTCTCATGTTATGTAGCATTCTCTCGCACTTTCTAGCCAAAAAATTGCACTCTTCGATTAGGTGGGAGGTCTTTTCTGGTCCTTTCTCTGGCTTTGTCCCAAAATCATGTGTCCGTGTGTCGCATGGCCTATTCTTAGTCGGATGAGGATGACGCTTCTTCTAGGAGTTAGGTCCTCCGAGTGGCACCTATCGACAGTGATCTTGATATTCTTCTTCTGCAGACCCAGCCCTTCGACGCTGCTACATTTTGTTAATAATGTTTTTTATTGCATTTTAAGGCGGATCGCGGTGGTTAAGTGCCGGCCTTTTCCTTCCCTCCAGACCTATGTATCGGGTATCCAGAGAACAACCAGTATCTCTCCATCAAGAGCACACCGAGAATCTCGACCGAGAACCCGTCTTGGAGACTGACGGTGTCGATGCACACGAGGTGTAAATGAGAGGATGTGCCCTCATAATACGCACGTCACACCCTCACCGATCCAGACCCTAAGTTCCATGAATTTAGCTAGATAAAGGAATGGCACAGTTGACCTTCTTGGCTAAAACAGCGAGATCATCCTTGACGAGTACGGCCGGAAGGACACAGGGCGGAGCTGTCCCGGAGCTTATCCCTAGAGGTCGAGTCCTGATCTGAAAAAAGGCTTAATTTGGAGGTAAAAATGTTAATATTAAATTAGAAATTATGAAGTTGAAATTTAAAAGAGTTAACATGACCTAATTAAGACCAATAATGTGAAATTAAAAAGGGTTTAATTTGGAGATAAAAAGTTAATTTTAAATTAGCAATGGTTAATTTGAAATTTAAAAGGTTAACTTGAAGTTAAAACTAGTAATTTGAAATTAAAAAGTGTTAATTTGAAGGTAAAAAGTTGATGTTAAATTAGAAATGGTAAATTTAAAATTGAAAAAGGTTAACTTCAAGTCAAAACTAGCAATTTGAAATTAACCAGGGTTAATTTAATGGTTTAAAAAAACCTAATTTGAAATGATATAGGGTTAATTTGATGCAAAAATGGTTGATTTAAAGATAAAACTAGTAATTTGAAATTAAAAACTGTAATTTGAAGGTAAAAAAGTTAATTTTAAAGTGCGTAATGGTTAATTTTAAATTTAAAAGGATTAACTTGAATTCAAAACTAGTAATTTGAAATTAAAAAGGGTTAATTTAATAGTTTAAAAAAGCTCATTTGAAATGATAAAAGGTTAATTTAATGGAAAAATGGTTAATTTAATAGTAAAAACTGTTAACTTGAAATTAAAAAGCTTTATTTGAAGCTAGACAGTTAAATTTGACTGATAAATAGTTAATTTGAAATTCAACAAAGATTCATTTAATGTTATAAAAACTAATTTGAAATTATAAAAGATTAATTTGATGTGAAAAAGGATTCATTTGAAATTAAAAACGGTTAATTTGAAGGTAAAACTTTAAATTTAAATTATAAATAGTTAATTTGAAATTAAAAATGGTTAACATATACTGGTGAAGAAAAACTAATTTGAAATGAAAAGTGTTAATTTGATGCAAAAAGGTTAATTTGACGGTAAAAGGGGGTTAATTTTAAATTAAAAAGGGTTGATTTGACGAAAAAAGCTATAAAATAACTCGTATTTTGTACATTTCGTATTTTATGAAAAATTATAAAATTACGCAAAAATATTATATTTTAAGTTCAGCCATCTCCAGACGGGGACGTTGGATGCATTTGCGTGAGGTATGTATCATCGATGACGAACTTCGTTTCTGTAAATGAATATAGTGTATGTTAGCATCCACCCTGACTTTTCTAAATAAACCTTTACGTCCACCAGAGTACATACTAAGCCAGTCTCGTTGCTGTCGTACTAAACCGATGATTACAGGACAAATAAATTAAAATGGCAAAAATACTTCTTTCACGGGATGAATCGCACGACCGTGGACGCCGTTCATGTGCGATAGGCCGTAAATCACCAAGTCGAACTTTAACGTCCCGATTAGCCGTCAAGAGCATACATTGTTATAGGCCACTTGAAAAAGGAGTCTACTCTTCAAACATTGTTGACGGCGGGGGGGTCTTCAAACAAGAGTGACACAGCGGTCGGCAAGAGAAGAGCAGAAAACGAAATAGAGATACATAAATACAGAGAGAGGGGAGCGAAAAGCAAACATATCATAGACACCTCGTTATGCGTGGAAAAAAGTCCCGAGGGGCTTCATTCTTTTTAATCAACTCATGTTGGCCATCATGCTGAAAACTTTTGAAAGAAAATACAAAATTAAAGCAAATATCAAGCAAAACACGCACGCGAAAGCACACTGTAAATAAACATACATACGATGTTGATTGGGATTCGGATTGTGGTCTTCAAACATACAATGCTATTATATCAACGCCCAATCTTTCGACAAGTTTTATTGCCTTCTTCAGGGGATCTACAGAGACATGGGGGCATAATCATTTAAATAGTTATAAATTATTTTGTCGGTTTGTTGTTACTTACAGATACAGTCATAACTTAAACACATTACACATTTCACGATATGTATATATGCAAACTATATTGTTATATACATATATACTAAATACATATATAATATACTACAATACATATATAATAAATAAATAAAAACCTCTTCTTAATAGCCTCTTACATATATATGCATTTTTTAAAACAGTAGCAATTACTTAACAATTAGTATTCTTTAGGTAAATAAATATCACAGGCGTTTGACTAGAAAATTGTGTTTATCACGTTATCAGGTGAGAGGTTGTCACTGTAAAAAAGGTGAAATTGCCAAATAGATCATGTTAAAAATCTGGTGGAACAACATCCCAGAACAGAGAACAAGACGTCGTTAAAGTCTCGTCTAAACTTACAGCAAACTTGCAACTCGACAAAACTCAAGATCATTGGTCTCTTAACCGGAATCAATATTGACTTGAAAATATTGGGATGGGCAGAAAATGTAAAGGTTCTGCTAAAACGAAGAGGATACCTCAGTACATCTCATATGCTACTATGGGTGCTTGACAAGGAAAAGGTGCTCTTCTCTCCTGCAGAACCAAAGAATCCGTATCTGTTTGAAAGCGTTTGGTCATCGCCTGATCGATCAATCAACTGCGGAAATCGTCCAGACTGCCAAGCGTACCTGTACTCAGGTACATCGTCAGATTCGGCTGACGACATGTAAAGTCAAGTAATAAATAATTAAATTCACTAATTTCGTGGTCCGCTTGACCAATTAATATATTACAATTAATTAAGGTTTTTTGATGAGATAAAAAAGTCAATGACACAAGCGGGATTCGAACCCACGATCTTCGGCGAGATGCGCCGCTGTTCTACTACTTGAGCTATCGTGACCTCAACCCACTCGGACACCAACTTCCCATCTCAACCGCACCTTTTGAATTTTCCCTCCTTTTTGCCATTTTTCAAAATCAACAATTCAACAAAAAACCTTAATTAATTGTAATATATTAGTTGGTCAAGCGGACCACGAAATTAGTGAATTTAATGATTTAAAATGAAGTATACATCACTAAAGCTCTCCGTGGCCATTTCATATGTCGTCGAGAATCCAATCCGATTACACGACATTTGAAAAATGGCAAAAAGGAGGGAAAATTCAAAAGGTGCGGTTGAGATAGGAAGTTGATGCCCGAGTGGATCGAGGTCACGATAGTTCAAGTAGTAGAACAGCGGCGCATCTCGCCGAAGATCGTGGGTTCGAATCCCGCTCATGCCATTGACTTTTTTATCTCAACAAAAAACCTTAATAAATTGTAATAAATAAAATATTCAGACTTATAACCTGTTTTTCAAGTACAAGGAAGGGGCTTTAGTATAATTATAATCTATTATATTTCGTGGTCGGATTGAACAAAAAATTTCTATCAATTAATTAATCTTTATGTAAGGTATTGGTTGAAATGAAAAAGCCAGTGTCACGAGCGAGATTCGAACCCACGACCTTCGGCTCAATACGCCGCTGCTCTAACCACTGGTTCGTGGTTGGAGGGAAAATTCGAAAGGTTGTAGGTTGAGATGTAGAGTTGGTGCCCGAGTGGATCGAATCACGATGGCTCAAGTGGTAGAGCAGCGGTTTATTTAGCCGAAGGTCGTGGTTCGAATCCCGCTCGTGACACTAGCTTTTTCATTTCAACCAACACCTTACATAAAGGTTGGTTTAAAGCTAAAAATGGTTATTTTGAAATTAAAAGGGGTTAATTTGGTTTTAAAAAAATGGTTAATTTGGCGGGAAAAATCTATAAACCAGTTAAAATTGTAAGCTGATTTTTCTGGATCTTTTAAATAAATAATTCAATCGTTACAGTCCTGGTGAAATATATACATTCCATAAAAAACAAGGAAGAAATTGAATGTTTTCTTTCCAATTGCCCTAATCGACGTATGTAATTATAATGTTGAAGGTTGATCAGTAATTATATCGGCAATATAATTAAGTTATTAGATCTAGAACTTTGGAGTAATTTGCCGTGTTAAAAAAATGTTTTCATCAAAATTTAATAAAGGGGATGATAGTGAGAGAAAGCATGGAAGATTGTTCAGACAAATCACAACAGTATTCTTACACTTGTCGGTACGAATAATTTTTAGGGGCAGTCGTCACGTAGAAACGTTAACATTTTATGAATTAGGCCGCGTTTGGTTGATGTAATTGTTTGTTGTGAACGCATGCATGAATGACGATGGCAGAGTGCGAAGATGTAGAAGGGGGTGCACTTAGAATGGTACCGCCAAGTACGACCAAAGGTATAACACCGCTCGCACGTCAGTCCCTTATTCCGACCGATACAGCCGTCCAACCCCGGTTGTTGTCAGTGTTGAAAAAGCTCAACGATAAACAACAGGACGTTTTAAAACTAAAACGGGATTCTGTACTTTCGATTGACCCGTATGAACTGTGGACCGAGGGAACGCGGTATTCAATAGCGTTAACGTTTTTCTTCCGTGGTTTTGTTTTGTCTCGCGCACACGCTCGTTTTTAGCGCGCCAATGCACGAACTAGTACCTGCGATGGAAAACGGTCTGAGAAAAAAGAGGAAAACGGAAAACGCCGGCTTGGTCAAGGATTTCGTCCAGCGGATCGACATGGTCGCCCTCAGTGGAAACGATTTGTTCAACGGCTACTCTCAGAAAGCCGAATCCATCAAGATCACCCCTAAAGATCAGACTGTCAAAAACGAGGAAGAACCCGCGAGCCTGTCCTGGCTCGTCAACCTCAGTGCGGCATCTCTTTTTCGCAACACGACAGACCCATTGCCGCTCAGAGAATGTAAGCAAATTTAACCTCATGTATAATCGTAAATCGATCAAATCTCACAACAATTTGCAATCGTGTGAAGGCTGTAAATCTTAGCATTAAGCACACCTTCACATTTCTTAATTCTGTAAATTAAAATAAAGCTCCTTGTGTATAAGTCAAAAATAAGTAAATTACACTCACTCTTCATTATTCAGGGATGATTTTATTAAGTTACGTAGTAAATACGTAGTAAATATGGACTGGAAAATTTTGGTTTTAGATGATGGCCGTTTGGAATACGTGGACACGTCGCAGAACGCGAAGCCGGGCCTGACTTACACGGAATTGATAGAAAAAGCGCTAAAAGAAAAAGGAGAGCTGACCGTATCTGAAATATATAAATGGATATAGTAAGTATTCAAAGGTTTTATTTTTATCCGAATCGGTTTTTGAGTAGGGGTGAGATTTTTTTTTTTGTAATCTGTTCGGGCGGTTGAGTTACGACAGTGACACCCTGTGCCTTGTCTACAGCATCGATCGCTTTTACCGGGCGCTTTATTCTTCTAAGATGGCATTACTTCGATCTCTGATAGGTGTGTGGACTTCGAGCCTGGGTCAAGGAAATAAATATAAGAAATCGGCTAAGTGCAAAAATCTCATACCAAATTTTTAATGGGGTAGCGACCGTTTTTCAGACTTAAAAAATGCCATTTTTATTTTTGTTTGTTAAACTAAAACCTTTGTTGCACAAAATGACGCCGGTCACAGGAGATTCCGAACTTTAAAAGTGCTTGAAATAATTTTTTACAAATTCCGAATCGAGTGTTCTGGAATACAGCTATTTTCGACAAAATTGACCTTTTAATTTCAAACATTTCTAAATTATAATTAGACCTTTTTAATATCAAATTAACTCCTCAATTTGAAAAAAAAAATAAAATAACTGCGCTTTTAGGAGACCATTTATTAATTACACTTTCAAAAAAGTACAATTCTCACATTTCTTTCTCAAATCAAAAGAAGAAATTGTATATAATTTTAATTTTAATTGTAATTAGTTTTCATATGGGTTTTAAGGGCCAATTATTTTATAATAAAAAAACTAAAACTAAAAGAAGAATCATTTGTTTTATTGCTATCTCAATTGTAATTAATTCTGATATGGCCATTTAAGAGCTCAATTATTTTTCATGTCAAAAAAATCTTAAATATACAAATTTTTGGTGCTTTAAAGAATAGGTTAATTTCTATTTAAAGATGGTTTAATTTGTAATTTAAAAAAGGTTCATTTTATATTACAAAGGGTTATTTTGACGGGGCAAAAATACTTTGAGTAGTTTGACGGAAAAAAGCTATAATATATACATACCTATGCCTATTTAGAACCGGAAACTAAACCATAGTTTTTTTATGTAAAAAGGGATTAATTTTGGTAAAAAAGGCAAAAATACTTTGAAGTTAATTTTGGTAAAAAGATTCTCAGATTAAAAGGTTTTTGCATATGTGTTTTTATATTTAATTGTAGGTAGTTTTTTAATTTTAATATTTAATTTTTTAAATTAATTTTTATATGGTCATCTAAGAGCTCAGTTATTTTATAATTCAAAAAATTCTCAAATCTATTACCTCCCAAATTTTGTTATATGCTTTAAAGAAAGGTTATTTTGAAATTAAAAGGATTAATTTAAAGTTTAAAATGGTTAATTTAGTGGGAAAATGATTAATTTTTAAATTAAAAAAAAATTAAATTAAAAAAAAATTGTGTGAATGTTTTTTAATGTAAAAAGGTGTTATTTTGTCTAATAAAATTTTTACATTAAAACACATTTGTTTGTATATTTTATTTTAGATCATTTTTAATTTTAACCGTAATTACAATCATTTTTATATGGTCTAAGACTCCAATTATTTTATTTGAAAAACCGTCTCCTGTTTTTTATTGCTTTAAAGAATGAGTGAATTTAAAATTAAAAAGGTTTAATTTATTCTTAAAAAGCGTCATTTTGAAATTGAAAAGGTTAATTTGTTGTAATAACTTGCATATAAATAAATTCATGTAAAAAACCCTAAACTTTTCTGCTCTTAGGGCCCCGTTTTCAAAAACTTTCGGACACGTGTCTAATATTTTTCGTCCTTGTTGCCAATGAAGTTTCCTTAAAATTGAGAATCCCAAGTCCCTTGTTACCCGTTTCTTTATTTAGTTGTAAAAATACTTGTTGATGTTTCCATTTATCGTTGCGTTTTGTGTTAAAAGTAAAAACTTACACGGGGGGGGGGACTTAATCTTTTATTTCATATAAGAAAAAGCTATAATACATAGTGTACTTACTATACATACTTATGCCTATTTACACCCGGATACTTTTTTTTTGGTTTTTTATGTACAAAGGGGTTAATTTTTGTAAAAAATGCAAAAATACTTTGACGGAATTTACCTGAAAAAAGCTATAATACATAGAATACTACACACACCTATGACTATTTAGAAGTGGATACTAGACCATTATTTTTTATGTACAAAGGGGTAAATTTTAGTAAAACAATTCTCACATTAAAAGATTTTTTGTATATTTGTTATTATATATTATATATATTTAATTTTAGATCATTTTTAATTTTAATCGTAATTAATTTTCACATAAATCTAAGAACTTAGAAAACTAAGAATCAAAAAAAATTCTCAAATGTTTACTTTTCTATCACTATTTACTTTATATGCTTATATTTCGTACCAACTCCTAAGTTTTATTTTATGCTTTAAAGAAAGGGTTAATTTGAAATGAATAAGGGTTAATTTAAAGTTTGAAATTGAAAAAGGGGTTAATTTGGTGCGAAAAATGATTAATTTAAAATTAAAAAGGGCTAATTTGACGAGAAAACCTCGCGTCACGCCTTGAACTTGCAATTCGCCATTGCTGTTCGAAGATTATCGTCTTTTTTGTAAATTCCGTGTCAAAAAAACTACCTTCCCAACTTATCAACTACCTTTTGCAAGACGAAAGTTTTATGACTTAAACTGGCAAGGAAATATTCGCGCTTGGTGAGAAAATCGCATTTCTTGGAAAGGTGTATTTTTCCATCTTTGGAACACTTTTCTCCATAATTTTTCATGGTATTGAAAAGATCCTTTCTTCATTTTCTAGAGCAATAAATAGGGAAATAATTGTAGGGAGTAATGTTTAAAAAAAAAACACCAAGGAGCGGAGAAATAATTTTTTCTCCATAAAAAAGGTGTAACATTTTGTCACAAATTTAGGTCGTTGCGAAGATCTAGATATATAAAGCCATAGGTACAATTTTCAAAGCATTCCAAGCGAAAGAAGAAAATTAATACAAAAGATTGGCTGTAACTGGCCAAATAGATTTGATTTGATTTTGACAAAATGGTAGCGAAAAACGGCATCCTTTTGGTGTCTCTTTGGACTAAATGCAAAAGTTTAGAGTTTGTCGCTTAAAAAGAAAGTTCACTCTTCCGAGAAGAAAAACGAAAATCAAAATACGTCGATTGGAAGTGTACTTAAGCAAAAGAAATAGAAAAAATAACCAGTTGTCCAAAAAAAATATCACTAACCCCTTAACCCCTTAATCGACGAGAAGCTTATCCAGTTAACTTATAAGATTGTTAATTAATTATGATGTAGTGACATATAAATAGCAAAACGGCTTTCACTATACAAAAAATTTAAAATATTCATTTAAGAGCATACCTATCCAACAGGTCCAATCCATATAAAAGATTTCTATCAATCATGGCCGATTTTCCTTTGTGAGTTTTTTTTTCTTTACTGTACCAAATATTAATTAAAAGACTGGGATGAGTCTTAGAGAATTGAACGTCACATGTGTCAAACCTGGTGAAAGCCTACCGCCTCTGTGACCGAACTCGGCCGCATCATCAGTTAACGACTCCTTTACAACGGGTACTTGTTTTCCGAGAGATGAAGATTATAAAAATTATATGATTATTAAGTCCCCCCCCCGTGTAAGTTTTTACTTTTAACACAAAACGCAACGATAAATGGAAACATCAACAAGTATTTTTACAACTAAATAAAGAAACGGGTAACAAGGGACTTGGGATTCTCAATTTTAAGGAAACTTCATTGGCAACAAGGACGAAAAATATTAGACACGTGTCCGAAAGTTTTTGTAAACGGGGCCCTAGGAGCAGTAAAATTTAGGGTTTTTTTACGTGATTTTATTTATATGCAATTTATTACAACAAATTAACCTTTTCAATTTCAAAATAACTCTTTTTAAGAATAAATTAAACCTTTTTAAATTAACCCATTCTTTAAAGAAATAAAAAACAGGACATAGTATAAAATATAAGCAAGTAAAATAAAATTCTTGCGTATTTTTCAAATAAAATAATTGGAGTCTTAGACCATATAAAAATTATTGTAATTACGGTTAAAATTAAAAATGATCTAAAATAAAATATGCAAACAAATGTGTTTTAATGTGAAAATTTTATTAGACAAAATAACACCTTTTTACATTAAAAAACATTCACACCATTTTTTTATTTTTTTTATTTAAAAATTAATCATTTTTCCCACCAAATTAACCATTTTAAACTTTAAATTAATCCTTTTAATTTCAAAATTAACCTTTCTTTAAAGCATAAAACAAAATTTAGGAGATAATATATTTGAGAATTTTTTGAATTATAAAATAACTGAGCTCTGAGATGACCATATAAAAATTAATTTAAAAAATTAAATATTAAAATTAAAAAACTATCTACAATTAAATATAAAAACACATATGCAAAAAATCGTTTAATCTGAGAATTTTTTTATAATGGATCTTTAATTTTACTATGGACTTTCAATATACTCTCAAAATTTGGTACATTTTCATAAATTGCTTCTAATAATAATTGAGGTTTTAGATAGATTAAAAAATGTTTCAATTTTTGAAATAATTTATGAGTGCTTATTATGCTTGAATGCATGACTTTCAATTTACAAAATGTTATAAAATTTTGAACGTCATGATGAATTCAGGAGCAATTCAAAGAAGATTTGTCGTTGGTTAAATGCATATTTGATTTCAGTTATTTCCGCGTAGTATTTGATTTTTTTCTTCGCTGTTCTATTAACGAATTTAGACAGTTCATTGAAATTACTAATTAATTAATTATTTAAGGAATACATTAATTTTGGTTAGCCTTAATATCTATGATAATGTTGTCGAATTTTTGTTTTTATACGCGAGAGAGTCGATAGATTCATCCGTCATCAGGCTCAACGAAAAAGCAGGGTTATGGGAAATGAGAAAAAAAATTGATAAGACAAGTCCGAAATGTTTCTATTTCCTCAAGGACGGTAAGAAGAGGCTCGGTGAAAATAGTCCAGGACTCCTGGACCTCTTCTTACCACAGCTCATAAAATAACCTGGCTTCAATTCGCACGGGAACATGTGAATTCGACAATGCAAGATCCAGGACGAGTTCTCTTTACGGATGAGGTGAAAGTTGGCCTCACATCTTCAGATGGGGGTAATTTCATATGGAGACGGTCAGGAGGAAGGTAAAGGCCCCATGCTGTATGGTTCCTCAGGTGGCATTCCATGGTAGGTCATTAGTGTACTGGGGTGGCATTGGTTGTCGTGCGAGGAAGATCTCTAACTTCACAGAGGTACTTACGAAGAAGAACGTGTACTGCCATTTGCCCCCCCCCCCCACATCAGTGAGAGATCTTTCTAATGACGGAATGCAGGATAACGCCAGGCCCCATAGGGCACGTAATTTGAATGACTACCTGAATAAGGTCGAACTTGACTGCTTGGTGTGGCCAGATTTGAACCCGTCCGAACACATTTGGGACCAACTTAAGCCATGTGTACGTGGGCGAAACCCAGACCCCAACACCCCAGAAAAGTTGGAAACTGCTGTTCTTGTTGAATGGAAAAATATTTCTCTGGATTTTATCAGAAATCTTTTCCAAGGAATGCAAAGATTTAACGAACGTGATTGTGCCAGGGTATTAAAGTGGACAAAAAAGTTTTTTACATTTTCATTTGTTTTCGAATTTTCCGTTTTTTCGTTCTTTACTGAATAATTCGTTTGAATTAGGCAATAAGCATTTTCTTTTTAACTGTCTTATTTTGACAACCAAATCTATTTTTGGTATACAAAATATGAATAAACCTGAATACATTATAATTTAAGGGTGTTGCGTTAATTTTGCCCATCAGTGTATTTCACTTATCTCGTTTTGTTGACGATCATCGTAGGGTTCGAGACGCAACCTACCTTTAAATTCAAGATGTTTGTCCTACGTGCCTTCGAATAATTTGTACGGATTGTAATTGTAGGTACACTATTTCATTCGTTACCGTTTCGAATTCGAAGTTTCCTGGAAACTAGTCAATAAGTATTGTTTTAGTTCGTCCCATGTCCGAAATGTTCGAGTTTTTGTTTGTTCCCTTCCTTTACTCACGATTTTTGATTTTATCCCTAACAATAAAACTGGGGGGCGTCGGTGGCCGGTTTAGTCGTTGACAAGGCGCTCATCATTGTGAGGTAAAAGTTCCGGGTTCGAATCCAGCGGCCCTGCATTCGAACCCGACATACTTACAAATGGGCTTTTTTTCAAAAACACCGACACCCCGAGAGTAGATTATTCTGATACTAGAAGAGAGTTAAATTCACTAATTTCGTGGTCCGCTTGACCAATTAATTAAGGTTTTTAGTTGAGATATAAAAATCAATGGCACGAGCGGGATTCGAAAAAAATGGCAAAAAGGAGGGAAAACTCAAAAGGTGGAGTTGAGATAGGAAGTTGGTGTCCGAGTGGATCGAGGTCACGATAGCTCAAGTGGTAGAGCAGCGGCGTATCTAGCCGAAGGTCGTGAGTTCGAATCCCGCTCTTGACACTGACTTTTTCATTTCAACCAATACCTTACTTAAAGATTAATTAATTGATAAAACTTCTATGTCATATTATATACTCTGTTAATGCGGGATTTAATGCACTAATAATAAATATAATTTCAGAATTTAATTTAGAGTGGCTTGAATTACCATTGGATTATTCCTGAATTCTATTCGAAGAAATTTTACAAAAAAATTGTTTTTATACAAATTCGATTTTCTTATTAAACGATATAACGAATCGTTGTTATTAAACTTCAAAAATACTTTTGTTTATACTTAATTACTTGTAACTTGTTAAAATCATTATAATAAAAGGGTTTCTGATTTACAATATTAATGCAACGATATACCATGTCTCTCTTCCTTTCGTGGATGCATTCAGGGTCTGAAGGGCAAATAAATACAAAGTTTTAACAAAGCTTTAAGAAATTGTTATAAATAATTATAAGTAATGTAAAACCTAAGAACCTCTACATTGTAATGATAACAATTTAAACGACAACATAATTTATACATAACACAATCCAACAAGCAACAATTGACAATGATAACAAATAACAAATTATAAGCAATGAACAGTCATGTAGTAACGTATTGACGAATGATTATAATATTAGCACACTCACTTATGGAAAATCCACAGCCTGGGAACAAAATTTCCCGATTCGATGAAGAGCCAACACCGGATGAAGCAACGCAGAGACCAGATACAAGTAGGGCAGCTCAGCCTTCAGACACTAATGCCACTGTTTTCAAAAAGGTTCTGGTACACATCCACCCTGCTCGATTCAAGTTCTTCGTTCTTCTTAGACTGATTGAAAGTATGTCGATGCAGTTGAAGTTGAAAAATTGAAATTTTGAAGAGCAAATCAACTGTTGATACAGTGGTCTCACATATGCCATTGAAAACCGTGCTGTCCTACCGACTGCGCCAGTTTATTCACTTGGTCTCATTTATTCACTTCTCTTGGTCACTTTATTTGAACAATAAGTTTATCCTAGCAATGATATACTCTCACTGGTAGCTAAGCTAGGAACGAATCCTTTGGAATGAATAATATAACACTTAAGTTGCTCTGGAGGGGGCGAGTGCTGATTGCAATACTAGGAAGAACGCCTGCATCCTAGTATTGCTATCTGATAGTGTCCTATGATTTATATGAATGTAAAATTAATTTTTTTTTAAATTAATTTTTTAAGATTTCTCTGTAGATCCTGAAGAAGGTGAAATACATTGATGGACAAAATTGAAGTATTCCCTTAAATTTTAGTGCATTTAGGTTATGGTTTATTCATATTTTGCATACCCAAAATAGGTTTGGTTGTAAAACCAGTGAGAGTTTGAATTTGAATTGAACAGTTAACAATTTCCGTTGAATTTGGATAAGATCCGGAGGAGTTGCAAATTTTTGAAATGAAACACCGGATATCAGGAGAAGAAAAAAGAAAGTCGAATACCCTTTATTAAAACTTAACTGAAACTCGTTAAGAATTTTTTCTACTTCCACCCAGTTTTCCAACCTTAAAAGCAACAGCCCAGTGAATATTTCTGCTGTACAATCTATTTAAAGAAATGAGATACCCCATAAATTTTTGTTTCGTTGACATCACCTGTCTTGTAATGTGGGTGTATGATTTTTCAAAAACTTCTAGTTCTTTGCCAATTTGAAAAATATAAATTAAAAATTTAATAATGCTTCTTAATATGATTTTGTACTGTTTTTAAAAGACTCACAAGGCACATAATACAGACCAGGAGCTTGTTCTGTTTTTGTTTTTCTTAATATGGGTTTATTGGGGAGGACGAAAGTTTAGGGTTATACAAAGCATTGAAATATTTAATCCATTCTTCATTTGAAATATCAGAATCTTCAATGAACTTGTGTTGTCGGAAATATTTTGACATGTTCCAGAAATCTTACTCTCACTCTCTTAAATTTTTCTATTTATAAAGTAGATTATATTCTCTTTTTTTCAATAGATATTCTTCTGTATTTCAGTCGTTATTTCCTTTCCTAAACTTTTTTTTTTTTTTAATAAAATCACAAATTGTATGTAGCCCAATTACAGACAAAGGGTTTTACATTGGTGCATGTATAGAAATATTTGACATTTAACAATTTGACATACTGACCACTTGGTTTTATCACGGTATTCACTACAGAAGAAATTGTCACTTAATAAATATCATTTTCAAATAAATTATTATCACACTATTACATATGTTTTTACATGATTTACATGTGTCTTGTAGTATATGTGGCTTTCAGATGTATTGCCTTCTTTCCTCCTAGTTGGAAGTGGACAGCGCCTTTGACTTTACCAAGTCCAGAATGGAACAAAATTGAATCGCTCGTGAATTGTTTCTTGTATAGTCAAGAGTTGTTGTCCTTTATGTATTTAGTTCTTCCTCACCACTCGGCATTTATTGCCATTTATGCTAGTATATTTTGTAATACTTAAGACGTAGCCCTCCATACTTCACACCCATCTTGACAAGAGGCCTTATGATAGATTTATAAATTAGCGAATTTAGGCCCTATTCTTGATTTGTTGTTTATAATATAGCATACCCAGATGAGCTATCCTTCAGTCACCTTTTTAAAAATCTTAAAAATGCAAAAACCTTTTTTCTGCACTCGTCAAACCATTTGTGTTTTGGCGAATTTGTCGGTTTTGTGTTTGGTGTTTGAGTTTTACATTGATAAGCAGCTCCTTTTATAAAAGTAACAATGCGTTCATCTCCTTTGCGACTCGACAAATTTTCTCTTTGCAAAATTGTAATTTACCTTATCCTTAAGATACTGTTCATCTTGCCTAGTCCATACAAGTTTTGGTAAAAAATATAGCGAATGTATGTAATCACACATTCCTCAAAAGCTTGAAAAAGGGGCTGAGTGTTTTTCTTTCTTTCAAATTCTCCTTATCACCTGATTTTTCTATATACAACGGCAGGTTTATTTGTTTCAAAAGTGTTGTAATGATTGGCATTTTAAACTATTTGTTTTTCTATTTTACAGCAGCAATTATCCTTATTATAAGAAGCACGATGGAAGATGGAAGAACTCAATACGTCACAACCTAAGCATAAATCCTCAGTTTAGAAAAGGGGAAAGATGTAACAACGGAGGCCATTTCTGGACGCTGAATAAAGAATACGATGATCAATTCAAGCGTTGGGTGTGTTGTAATAAATAATTATTATAAATATTTCAATTCCATATAGCTGAGTATTGCAAACAGTACCTGAGTTTAAATTCTATCCTAATTTCCATTTAAAATCATTAAAAAAAAAAAAATCGCATGTTTATTGTCTTATTTCCTAAAGCAGGATAGTGACTATACATTGGAGCGTAACAGTCTCATAGTTATTTTTTATCAGATAAAAAATCCATAAAATAACCTGCTTTCTCATAAATATAAAAATACAATAATATTCAAGTTGAAATTTCTTACTGTTCTTAGCAAGAACAGAAGAAAGGATCGAGGGAAGAGAGGAAACGTAAAATTATACAAAAAAGGGAGGAGGAGGAATTGGAACTAGCAACAAGGAGCATTATGCTGGACAACAATAGCAACGAATCGGCCAACTTTTCAACGAACAACGACCCAACATTGGTGAGAGTGGCCACAGACATTCTCAACGGGATCGATCGACAAGTGGAAGTCGAATACATGGTTAAAGACGAAAGTGCTTCAGGTAACTATTTCACAAATTTTTAACATTACAACTGACTCAAGCTTACACAACTTTCATTTTATCAATTTCAAAAACACAGTCTGTATTCGATCTTGTTATCCCAAGTATAGGTGGCTTATATATGGTCTTGCAGATTATCATTTGGCCAGTATGTCTGCGTGTTCATTACCTTAAATTAACTACTTTTACATTTCACGTTAACCTTTTCTTATTTTATATATTATCAACTCTACAGTTCATATCTTCTCTATTGATATGTTGAAAAATTTCAAGATCTCCGTGGTTGAAAACTTTTATTCAATTTAGTAAATTACATGGATGTTTCAGGCTCCTGGCCCATCATCAGCAACTAAACATAGAGAAATCTCATGGTATAATTCACAATCTGAAACTGGTCAGGAACCCGAAACGTCCATGTAATTTACTAAATTGAATAAAAGTTTTCAACCACGGAGATCTTGGAATTTTTCAATCTATCAATAGAGATTAACCTTTTCTCTAAAACATCAAAAATCCTAGGAGTGGTATGAAATGTAACGACATAAAGTAAAATTCTTGCATTTGAAAAAAAAAAAATTAAATATGAAATAATTGGGCTTTTAGAAGACCATATGAAAATTAATTACAATTAAAATTGAAAATTATATAAAAATAAAGCGATCTTCTTTTAATTTGATTTTTTTTTTAATATAAAATAATGGAGCTCTGAAATCTCCATTTCTCAAATTAAAAGAATAGGATGTATGGCCTACGGTTCGGCAAGGGGAAGACGGTTAAATAACATATACATGCAAGGACTGCGACTAACCATGGCACGTTCGGCATAAGCCCGCTCAACAGTATCTGTGTAGAGGTACGAGTCCTACCCCCGACTTTTAAAAGAGAAAAGAGGAGCCTCAAATACTATGTGAGCAAATGGACGAAGCCGGACCTCCTGCACAAAATACATGGATGAGACCTTTGGCCATAAATGCCAAAGAAATACTTGTGCCAAGAGTACTAACCCTTGACAGAGTGGAAAAGGAAATACCTCCTGAAAACCCACCGTGCACACTCCCCTTAATTCATCTGATGGGATATGGCAAAATGAAGAAAACCAGATCCCCCCCCCCAAATATACCAGAATAAACTACAATCAATAATGGGATCTAATTAAGGAAACCTTAAAAGCAAAAATTAAAGATAAAATCGCATATGCAGGAGGAACGGTTGAAAAAAGTATGGAATTTATAAAAGAAACAGACCAAAAATACGAAAATACGATTAAGGAATATACCGAAAAAATTAAACAATTGGAAAACAAAATACATACGCGATCACATGTAAATAACAAGAATCAACCCAAAAAAGAATCCTAATCATGAAACTACTAGAGAAACAAGATGAAAAAATAGAATATCTATCAAAAACACTGAAAGAAATGAAAGAAGAAAGAATAAATAAAATAACCAATGAAACAACAACAAGACAGCTAAATGAAACATACAAATCTTAGTGAAAAACAATATACATAAAAATCATGCACAAACAAGACAAACACAAATGGGAGACAAGAACCAAATATAACAGAAACAAGGAATTCACAAAATGAAGAAGGAAAAGAAGATGATACATTCAAAATAACCACGAATAAGAGGACAAGAAATAGAATAAATAGTATGACAACACGTGAGGAAAGTATCGCCTTTCCCAAACTACAAGAGATAATTTTTGTAGAACATGCTACCAAAAATTCAACTGAAATAAAACAAGACATGCAAAAAAATGTGAACCCAATAAAATGTGGATTTAGGATAAATGAGCATGAGAAACGCAGGAGAAAACAAAGTAGCAATAACAATTGAAAAGGCAGAACAAAAAGGATTACTAGGCGAGCGCGATGAAATTAAAGAATTGGGACTGACAATAATAGAACAAAAAAGATATAATCCCAAAATAATTTTAAAGAAAGTGCCAAAATCCTTCATATACAAGAGAAGACATCATAAAAGAACTGGTTGAACAAAACACAGTGGAGCCACATCCATCTACACAGATGACGCTGGGGGTGTCGACGCTTGTATGGAGAGTAAGATAGAAACAGTATCACTCCCCAATCAGCAAGTACACACATGGTGGAACTGAAAGCCTTATCATCCCTCGCACTAAAGATTTTGAAAACAAAAAACGTAAAATGAACAAGGGATCAATGTCAGTGGGAAAAGGATTGTCCTGGCATAGGTTCCCAGTCACATTGGTATAATCGAGAAGAAACAAGAAGATAAGGCAAAGTTAGCTATGACGAGACCATATGACCCCACCCACGCATACATCCAGCAGATTTATAAAGAACGATATAAAAAATAAATGGAAAATCCACTGGAATGAAAGAAACATATAGTTTACACAAATGAAAAAAAGACATCAGTCCCTGGCCTGCAGAGGCTGGGTCTAGAAGGGAAAAGATCATACCAGGTTGTGCAGAGGTCATATCAAGATCATACACAGACATTTTCTAAGGGGGGGGGGACCATGTAGGTGTCCGTTGTGTGGAGTGCTTACCAAGGTAGAGCATGAGCACTAAGTCATCTAAGTAACGTCATCAACTCTGTACTCGTGTGTGCATATGCATGCACAGATTTGAGCTTATGTACTACATCAGTAATCGGTAATTTTAATTAATTTTTATACAATTTTTTTCAGAGCCAAATTATTGTTATTATTTCTTTCAATTAATTATCGTTTTTATGTAAGGTTTTGGTTGAGGTGAAAAAGCTAGTCTTTTTAAAAAGATAGTTCCTATTCAGAGCAAGTTGTTTTCAACCATCCGGATTTCAAGCCTACAGCTCATCATCAGGTCGAAGGAGCGTACAACCTGATGATGAGCTGTAGTCTCGAAATCCGGATCATTGAAAACAACTTACTATGAGTAGGAACTATTGTTTAAAAAAATTGAAAAACACCATTTATCATTTCAATGAAAAAGCTAGTGTCACGAGCGGGATTCGAACCCACGACCTTCAGGTTCGAATCCTACTCATGATACTAGCTTTTTCATCTCGACTGAGCCTTACATAAAAAGAACAATTAATTGAAAGAAGTAATTTGGTCAATTAGACCACTAAACATAAAGGATTAATATTATTTTTTTAATGCAGGAATTTTACTTTACAAGCTTAAATTTCATACCAACCCCTGGATTTTTTTATTTTTTGAAAGATAAGATTAATTTCAAATTAAAAAGGGCTAATTGGGAGTAGTAAATTATTAAGTTAAAGTTAACAAGGGTTAATTTTGAAGTTAAAAACAGTTAACTGAAAAGTTAAAAAGTAAATTTGATGGAAAAAAGATGCATTGTCAGATAAATTATTTTTTCCAGATTTGTTAAATACAAGAAATACTTTATACATAATTTCAATTATCAAATCTCTTACATAAGATTACAAACTTAACTTATACAATGACAAATGCAATGAATTTTTTTCGTGCCTGTGTATTTCCATTCTACCTTTTATCTTCATTTTGAATGTGCTTTTTTTCCTTTTTGTGAGTTGTAGGTTTGTGCTTCTGCTGGTTGATTTTATCTTTGTTTGATTTTGTGCTATTTTTTTTGAATATTGTTTTCTTCTCTCACTCCAGTCTTTTTTATTTCGATTATTAAGCTAGTGTTTGGAGTGTGATTCGATTCCGCGTTCTTCTTTTTTGTGTCGTTTTGATTTTATTAGCTTTTTCTTCTTTTTCGGTGTCTTTCATTTCTTGAAGAATTAATTTTTAGCTTTATTTTTTTGTATTAGCCGTCTACAGTTGTATGTTTTATCATTTTCTTTTTTTCTTGTGGTAGTTTTGGTTTTGTTGGTTAGTTTTGATCCCATTCTCTGGGTTTTTTTGTTTTTCTCGGATTGGTTTGATTTTGGCTTCCAGCGGTCTGATTTGATGGATTCACTGCTTTTTAACGTTGATTAGTGTTATTTTTGTATATTTATTTCTGTATGGTGGTGTTTTTTGTGTTGTTCAACAAACCGGCATTTGCTTATTTACCATCATAATTATCCTCTTCAATATAAATTATTGACAGTGCAGCACACGTTGAAAATGAAACTTTTTTTTTTTTTTGGCAAAAAAATTTATATTGTACAATTTTACATTAACCGATACATTGAACGTTGTATGTCGAACTGAAAATTAGAACTGATGCTAGTGCCAAAGTCAAAAGACTATTCGGTATCTAAAAATTTAAGGGCACCTTAACTGGTTGTAGGTTATAATACTGTGGCCAAACTACTCTTTAAGTACTTACATTTGAGAAAATATTTTCAGGAAGGGCATTAGAGCTCAACTATTTTGCATACCTGATATTAACGCTAAGTGTAATTTGTAATTTTTTTTTTGTGCGATATTGTAGTAACGATTCTAGTCAGTTTGTCTTGTAGTTACATTTGAGGTTCTTGTGTTGTCTAAAGATTTGGGTTTGAGTTGCGTTAAATAATTTATTTATAATTAATTATTAAATACCAGTATTTAAAATAAACATTTATTGTGCTCAAATGTCTAATTATTCACCTATTTTGTATCATTTGTTTTTAAAAAGTTTGGTTGTTTTTTTTTTAATTTATTTGTTACCTATACAGAATTGTATACTATACAAATATGTACACATGAATGATAAATCACACAGCACAACACTAGCACTAATGCCAGCACTGCACCGGTAGAACACATGCTTTGAGGAGCCAGCCATTGCTGGCACTCATTATGCATGACTAGGTATCAAGGAGGTCCTGAGGCCATCGTCGGTTAAGGCAACGTGGTGGGTTGTCAGGATGGAAATGAGTGGATAGGGCTCGAGCAGTATGGTTAGGATGGTTTGAAAGGTTGGTATGGAATGTTTGGAATCTGGACCGGATTAGTTCGTTGGCAAAAGTTATGTTGAGGTCTTTGTGGATAGTGAGATTAGTGACATAATAAGGTGCTTTGACAATTTGTCAAAGGACTTTCGATTGGAAGGACTGGATGCGCTGGATATTGGAAGGCTTGGCAGTACCCCACAGTCCCACTCCGTATGTCCATATTGGTCTTAGTAAAGTCTTGTATAGTGTTAGTTTTGTCTTGTCAAAGTCGATTTTGGTCTTAAAAGTCTTCGTAGTAGTCCAAGTCTTGTATTAAGTTGCTGTTTTTTAAGTCTTGTGTGGGGATTCCACATCAGTCTGCTGTTGAGATATAGTCCCAGGTATTTGACGGGTGGAAACTGGTATCTCTTTGTTGTTGATGTACAATGGAGGGCAAGACTGCTTTTTCGGCGTAAAAGACACTGAGTGCATTATTCTTCATTCAGTCTTGTCCTCCATTTTTTACACCAGTCTTCGATAAGCTCAAGGTGTTCTTGGATGTTGGAGGTAGCTTGGACAGGATTCGAGTTACAGGATAGGATTGCGGTGTCGTCCGCATAGGTGGTGATAATAGCGTCAGTTTGAAAAGTAAGTTTTTATCTGAATACATAAGTAGTTATTCCATGTTTTATGTGCACTTAATTTTAACGTAAGTTTTAAGTATATAAGTACTCAATTAATTATACACAATTTTTTTCGAAATGAAAAATTTGTGTCACAGGCGGGATTCGAACCCACGACTTTTGGCTGGATACGCCACTGCTCTACCACTTGAGCTACCGTGACTTCGATCACCCATGCCACAAACTTCTCATTTCGACTACCCGATTTTATTCTAATTATAAGCAAATCGCGGCTTCATATAGAAACACTTTTTATTAACGATTATACTAGATTAGCGGGACTGTGTACGATTCACAGGTGTGATTCTAGATTAATACTACATTTTATCAGCTTCTATTAATTATATAAATACTCAATTAATTATACACCATTTTTTTCTAAATGAAAAATTTGTGTCACAGGCGGGATTCGAACCCACGACTTTCGGCTAAATATGCTGCCTCTCTACCACTTGAGCTACCGTGACTTCGATCGCCCATGCCACAAACTTATCATTTCAATTACCCGATTTTATTCTAATTATAAGCCGAAGTCGTGAGTTCGAATCCCGCATGTGACACAAATTTTTCATTTTGAAAAAAATTGTGTATAATTAATTGAGTATTTATATAATTAATAGAAGCTCATAAAATTTAGTAGTAAGTTTTAAGTGTTCGTTTAATTCAAGCAAGATCAGTAATGATTGTCAACCATCTAACCGTTGCGCCACATCTCGGCACCTGAAGCACCCACGCAAAAATAATAGCCCACACATTTAACTCCAATCCTCCAGAGATAATTTTTCAAGTTTCAGTTTCAAACCAGAACTATGGCATTCCAACTTCCTCGTAACGCTTCTGTGTGTTCACACAAAATGATACAATTTTTTAATTTATTATTGGAGTTTTAAATCAGTTAATTAAACACATTACTTTTTTTTAGTAAAATTCAATTTTATTTGCATATAAACAAGAATATAAACTAAATCATAGGGTAACAGTAAATTATTTACATTTTTTCCCTCATGTACTGAATTAGAAACAAATTTAATTTAACCGTGGTATACTTTAATTGCAAACAAATCAAACTTGAGTAATGCTCAAGTTTATACAAAAAAAAAACAAAAAAAAACATCATTTCATAATGGAAAGGAAAATCTCAGGGTGAGATGTATTCATATTAACAGCAGTGTTCGACCGGCCAGGCTATGGACGAGGTGCTTTCTTCTTCTTTTTTTTCTCTTTTTTCTCTGTTACCTCCTCGGCCGGCTGGTTGACTGAAGAAGCCTGAGAAGCCTCCCCCTTGCTCAAAGTTTTCGCTTGTTTATCTTCCTTTGACCTAGAAAGGTTAATTTTTAAATTTCATTCTTTGATATAAATAAAATATAATTACTTTTCTGGCGGTGTGAATATCAACATATCATCTTCAGAGTCCATCAACAAGGATCTTCTCAACGCAGAAACTTGATTTCTAGTAACCCTGCGGTGCTGAGAATACTCCGCTACAACTGCCTCAATTTCCTTATTTTCCATTTTATTATCCTACACATAAATTTTAAAAAATGAAAATAATCGTCTTGAGTAATTGCTGAATTTCCTGATCACAACTTTTGACTAATTTGTCAGGCAGAACTACTGGAAATGACATAAATTAAGCTTCCATCTAACTGACAAGTTTTTTTAAATTTTAATTTTACATAATAATACAAATAATGAGATGGCAAATAAGTTTGTCCGGTTTCTACCAACACCGTGGCACAACTGAAAGATGATGTTTTCAGTCGAGTGTAGCAAATTTTTCATAATGGAAGGAAATAGAGTGGACCAACCAATCGAGGTTGATTTGAGTGTTGTGAAAGAAATAACAGAGCAGGAATTTGCATCAGTAATTAAACATATCCTACAACCATCCAGAATCAACATCATCATAAATGCGCAATCACGCCACCCGTACGAACACAAAATTGCAAATCCATAGACTGAAAACTATAACAAAGAACTACAAACTATAAAAAATAGCAAACAAAAAAAATAAGAAAAACACCATCTACACATTATTAAGAAAAAATAACGAAACACAAAACAACATATTAATCCAAACATATCATAAACATGTAAAGTTAAAATTTGTGTACATTTTCAAAATGTTTTTTAAATATGAAATAATTGGGGTTCTTAGAAGACAATATGAAAATTAATTACAATCAAAATTAAAAATGATATAAAAATAAAGAATTCTTGGATTTAAGATAGTTTCGGCATTATGCCATCATCAGTGAGGGACTCTTCACGTTTGAATAACTCAAACAAAAAACCCGTGAGTGGAAACAGACCCAGTAAGTGGCCATGTGCCGGTTCAACATAAGCCCAGAGTAGTTGTGTCCTTTAAAATGTGGAGGTATAACAAAAGCAAAAGCATAACCATAGATAGCAAAACAGATAAAAAGATCACCCTATTTATAGGAAAATATTTTTCATTTTGTGCTGAAAACATTTGTGGCAAAATCATTCAGTGTAAATCTTATTAAATACAAAAACAAATTATTCTATTAATTTGAGCTTTTTTAAAATAGAAAAGTTTTACTTTTAAACTAATTAATTTTCATCTGTTATTTTAGGTAAGAGGTAATTATATATTTTTAAAAAATTCTCAAATTAAAAGAATAATCCTTTATTTTTATATTTAATTTTATATCTTTTTAATTTTAATTGTAATTAATTTCATANTTTAATTTTAATTTTAATTAATTTTTTATATGTTACTTTAGGTACGAAATTTTCTATTTTTCATAAAATTATCTTCTAAGAGCTCAATTATTTTATCATTATTTTACAAACCAATTAGGAATTTTACTTTACATGCTTATCATACGATCATTTAATGCTTAAAAAAAGTTAATTTGAAGTTAAAAACACAAAGGAGGCAGTAGAGATCATAATAAAAACGGACAATAGGTCAATACATACTTGATTATTATGTTGTATATAATATTACATAAAATTTCTTTAATTCCGCACATAAAAACTTAGCAAACTTTTTTGCCAAACCAATATTTATTATAATAATATTATTTTAAGAATTATTGCTGGATGGGATTAAATATTCAATTCAAGCTTTGATTATAATTAAGAACGTAATATATGTAAAAATGTATTTACCAAATCTGCTGATACGCCCTCCACCACTTTTCCAGAACGCAAGACTTTCCCTGGCCCTTTTTGCGGAGATTTTGGTTCCTGAGTACAATCTGGAAACATCATACTGACTCTTTTTAACATGTCAGTTTTCGAATGTTCTAGTTTAAGCCAATCGTTGTAAGTGAACTGTTTAACTTTTATTTTCTTCTTCTTGACTTCGGCCGATGGTTTATTTATTTCTTTATCTTCTTCCTCTTCATCTTCAATGATATTTTCCAGATTACTCAGTTTTGGTTTGACTTTGTTTAAGGAAGAAAGAGTTGTGAAAGAGGAACTCCGCTTTCGCAATCTTTGTGAAATATGACCTTCTTCATTTGGCACACTGTCTGATTTAAAATAAGACTTCACAGAACTAGCACGTTTTTTCCCTGTGGTGGGTTTTTTAGGGCTGATCGGCTCAGCTTCTAGATTGGTGAAATTCAATTTTTTGAAACAGCTTGTTTTACTAGTTGAAGAAGTGCTAGGGGCTCTACTGACTGTAGGAGCGTTCTCTTCCGACGTACTTGGAGTTAACGATAAAACAGGCATGTTTTGGGACTTTTTCCTTGAGCTTACTTTGGTCTTAGGCACCTTGATTACTTTTTCGCCGACTGGCTCGGGCTCAAGAGAAGCCGCTCTTCTCCTCGGTCGTGTATGTTTCTCTTCTTTATCATCTTGACTTTCAGACACAGTTCGGACCTTAGAATAGCCTCCAGCTTTTGTATTAGTTGGCTCAAGTGAAGAAGATCTCCGCTTCCGACTGCCAGCAGTACGCTTTGCACTGATAGTTTCCAAAACTTCAGAAGGCTCATTATTCAACATAGCAGTGTCGAGGACGCTATATGAATAATCGACTAATGTAGTAGATCTTAATACACGTCCAGGGGTTGGTTTCAATTTATGAGGGTGATTTTCAGTAATTTCAGTACCTTAAAAACAAAATGAAAATTTAATTTAAAAACTGCAGTATTTTGGGCATACCACATAGAATAAAACTAACACTATTATGTATGATGATGAGGACAAGCAGGGGCTTCCTAATATCCTAATCATCAAACAATATCATTTTAGTTTTATTCTATGCAGTACTATAATTATTTTTTTCCAATTAGCAAGTACAATTTAAGTTTATTAATAATAATATAAATTAAATAAAAACCTTTCGTAATTTGTGTTTCTTCCAACATTCCTAAATCCAACAAACCATATGACGAATCAGATTCATCTGATAACTTCAAGGCTTTTCCCGGGGTCTTCTTGTATTTTCTGCGTTTCGATCTTTGCACGGGTGTTGCAACATCGTTATCATCTGCGACTAGACCAAAAAATAAAAATATAAGTAATGAATACAACCTAAATTTATTTTTTATTTCAATTAATTAAGGTTTTTAGTTGAGATAAAAAAGTCAATGGCACGAGCGGGATTCGAACCCACAATCTTCGGCTAGATACGCCGCTGCTCTACCACTTGAGCTATCATGACCTCGATCCACTTGGACATCAACTTCCCATCTCAACCTCACCACCTTTTGAATTTTCCCGCCTTTTTGCCATTTTTCAAATATCGTGTAATCGGGTTGTATCTCGACGAAAAATGAAATGGCCACGGAGAGCTTTAGTGAAGTATACTTCATTTTTAATCATTAAATTCACTAATTTCGTTGTCCGCTTGACTAATTATTATATTACAATTAATTAAGGTTTTTTGATGAATTGTTGATTTTGAAAAATGGCAAAAAGGAGGGAAAATTCAAAAGGTGCGGTTGAGATGGGAAGTTGGTGTCCAAATGGATCGAGGTCACGATAACTCAAGTGGGAGAGCAGCGGCGTATCTAGCGTATCTGTAGTCCCAAGTGAACTAAAATGTGTCTCATTAAGAGAGTTTTGCATTAAAATTTCAATCAATTCTTCTGCCAAAATATGAGGAAACCATTGCTCTGACAAACATATCCAGCAAAAGCATGAATTTGTTCATGCTATTTATGTATAGACACAACCTATTAGAAGAGTATTGTAAAAAACAAAAACAAAAGTTTTAATAGTGTAACTTATGTATAAATTTAATAACTGAACTAACTAGGACCTAATTAAGTAAATAAAACTAAAAAAAGAACTATTTAAGTCCAATTTTCACTATATATTTATATTAATTACTAAAAAAAATAAAAACAGATACAGTCAAACTTCACATAATTGAACACTAATCATGAATGGGATTTTGGCCTGTTATATAAGAGGGGAGAGCACAGTCACTAATTTTCTCTTACTCATTGACTTATATGACGTTGACCATTTCTCTGATAGAAAGAAAATTTTTTCAACCTCTTCTCTGAATCTATGTCACAATCTCAATGTCAAAACTAACCGAGAAACCTCTTATCTATATATGTGTCCGTTTGGGTACTTCAACTGTATATTAGTTTATAGGCAAGAAACTAGGGCTCTTTTTTATTAAATAAATAATTACATATAATAATCATACCTTCTTCCGAAACCTTTTTGAAATGTACACCAGGGATTGCTGAAAAAATAGACTTTATTATTACAATATACATTGGAAATAATTCTATCCTAAAAATAACAGATACCAATTTTATTTTATTTTTTTTTTCTGTTCTAAAGAAAATTATGCAGATATAATCTTTATGTTACATCAAAAATGCTGATATATTTATATAAAACTTGTGCATTATTAATAAACAAAAATTAACACTTACTCAAAGTACTGTCCATTTCCATAGATGTAAACGATGACACTAAAAAAACCAAACATTTTTAATGTGTATGTATTTATAGTATTCATTTATTTAATTATTTATTTATAGACACAATGTATTAAAAGAGTATTGCAAGATCCAAAAAAAAGTTTTAATAGTGTAACTTATGAATTTAATAACTGAACTAACTAGACCTAAGAAAGTAAATAAAACTACAAAAAGAACTATTTAAGTCCAATTTTCACTATATATTTACCTACCTGACCTACCTTCAAGCATAACACTAACCTTATCCCTCTACCTGACCTAACCCATCCCCTAAGCCTAACCATTCTCTAGGCGTAGCATTAACCTGTTTCTAAGCATAAGAATAACCTAATCCCATCTCTAAACCTTAAACTAACCATAACCCTAACCTTTCATAACCTGACTCTCAGCTTAACACTAAATGGCACACTAATTCTAGCCTAACCCTTTCCTTACTTGTCTTTAAGCATAACCACCCTCACTGAGCCTAAATATAATCACAGTCCTACCTTACCGAACAAATCCCTAAGTGTACATAACCTAACCTTCCATACCACTAACCATTACTTGTCTCAACTCTAACTAAACTAGCCCACCTCTAAACCTTAAACTAACCTTAACCCTTCCTAACTTGTCTTTAACAGTTGACTGCTACTTGGGTCCCTTCCCTCACGCTACTGCTGTAGTCTATTCAGCGGGTAGCTGAGCAAGGTTAGAAGGGTATAGAAACTCTTAGCTTCAATATAGGCATTTCTGGTTTTGCAATCACATAGAAGAGACCCTCCCGATACTAATTCAGCCATCCACCAAGATCAAACGCCATTTGTACACTTTCAGCAATTATTAAAAAAAAGATAGGTAAAACAAAGGAAAAACATTAATTCAATATTTAGAAAAAGTTTACACTTTTCCTCGTGTGCTGTCAACGTGTTAACACAGTGATGAACCATAACCCTACTTAACCAAACCCCCTCTAGCAGGTATTATTTTAATATGTAATTAGATTATTTATGAAAAAAATTAAGTCAGTGGTAAGGGGTAAAATTTTAAATAATATTATATTCAAGCCAGAGTTCCCAATATTGGTAAATAGATGGCTGCCCAGCTGAATGTGTTAAGAAAAATAGATTTAAGGGTAAACAATTATTTTATAAGATAGAAACCAATTGTTTTAAATTTCTAAGATGGTCAAATAAAATTATGAAGGTTGAGCGAACAACACTGAAACTAATGAAAGACATGTGTAAAGAATGATCAAGTGAAAACAAAAAAATTCATGGCTGACTGTTGGAGGAAGAGGACGGAATTAAAACAAGTATAAAATACAAACAAAACTTACATGAAGAAGTGTCACATTCTTCTCTATGTTTAACTTCTAATATTTCCTCTAAAACAAAGAAACAAAATGGATTTTATACATTATCCTTGGGTATTTGTGTGTAGTATAAGACTTACCTTTCGTAGTATCATCTGGTTTATTCAATTCCTTCGGCGATCCTAAAAACAACGAGAAAAAACATTTTTTTAAAAGATGATTTTAAATTGATTAAAAACATAATTATTCCAAATGATTTATAACATTGAATTGTTCAAATGAAATAAACATATCATTAAATTTATCAAATAAATAAAGCTTGGAAGATTTATATAGATTTTTTTAAATACTAACTTGGTGGTGTGTCATGGCTTTCGATAGATTCAAGTGGTTTTGGGAAATTAACTGGCATATCTACTAACAAAATAACATTAATAAAATAAAGCCAATAGCTAATTTAAAATAATAACAGATTTATACTTTAAATCAATTCATAAAATTACATATCACTAGTCTACTTCAAATCTTCAATAAGGCAACTTTTTAAAGTGGAAATATGCTGACAAAATTTGAAATTACTTTTAATTTAATATATAAAACAGCTATAGCACATTATTTATATTATTAAGAAATAGTAATTCACAGTCTTACTTTCATCTGCTAGACATGTCTCCTCGACTTGAATAGATTCTAAAGCCAAAACAAATTAAGATTTTTTAATATCAACAGTTGATGTCTAATAACTCAGAATATATCATCTTGGGGGCTTTTTAAAAAACAATTGCTGAAATGAACTACTAAATTTTTTAACAAACCTGGTACTAGGACTAAGCTCGGAAAAATACAGTAAATAGAATAGGCATTAAAACTTTTATAGCATTAAAAAAAATCATTATATGAACATAAGTATGATCTCTGATACAGGAGCCCTGGCCATGGCAATAAAAAGTGCCGAAAGCTGTTCTTAAAAAGACCTCAAGATTATCCATTAAAGGCTGAATCATTAACACAAAATTAAAAGTTTTTACTGGCGAAGTCTTATTTTAATTTAACTTACGTGGCACAGTTGTATCACATTCCTTTGGAAGATCAGCAGGTATGTCTGAAAGATAAAGGTTTGTGAGGTTTCTCATGTAATAATGATTTAAGAAGTAACCTTAAAAATGATTAATCTTTATCTCAACCAATACTTTACATAAATATTAATTAATTGGAAGATGTTATTTGGTCAATCGGACCACGAAATATAATGGACTTAAAAATTATATTGATACAAATCTTCTAATCAAAGATATGATGATCAAAAACAAGAAACTCACAATTTGTACAATCTAATTAAACTCTGATATTGTATATTTCTCCCTGTCTTCTATTTTAAATAGAAGCATTTTTCAATGCTTTTAATGCTATTTTGCAGCAATGCTGCATGCTTTTGCTCAACGATTAAAATTTAAAATTAAAACAACAAAAAGGATACATGCAACACAAAGAATTTATTTTGAATGGACTTTTTTAGAAATGTGTTTTCTACAGCCACAAGTGAACTGAAATGGGACTCATTAAGAGAGTTTTGCATTAAAAATCCAATAAATTCTTCTGCCAAAATGTGAGGAACCATCGCTCTGACAAGCATATCCAGCTGGGTTGTTACACTTGTATGAGATATGTTGTCTCTGTGCATTTGTGGCAAAAGCATGAATTTGTTCATTATAAACGATTGAAGGACCAGAGCGATTTGCGCCTTCTAAATCAAACTTTTCACTTCTGAATCGAGCAAACTAATTTACGGATGGTGCTTTGTTCTAAATTGTTATTATCATACACATAAATGTTTCTAGCTCTTTAAGCTACAGTTTTCCCTTGGCAGAAATGAAAAAAAAATGAATTGCTAAATAAACATTGCTTCAAAAGACAAGAGGGATAAAATCCAATTATTGAAAAACACTAGACTTATTTTACAACCCAATATATACTGATAGACAAATTTAATACACCACTCAATTTATTTAGTTAAAATTAAATTCATTATCTTTCTACATTAGTTACAAGTAATTAGAAGCTATCGTAGTCAAAATAAACAGTAAATAATGCTTTACTTCCTTTGTTTACTTTTGAACTGATTAATCCCATTTGCAAAATAAGTAGCATTATACCCTTTCATTATTATATGCATAAAGGTTGGTTTCGGTTAATCCTTTTCCTTCATTGATTTTATTCTTATTTATTTGTATAGAGCAGTTATTGTGGATGACTACCTAAATGTGGATGAAATTGAGTGCTTGGTATAGCTAGATTTGAACCATCGAACACATTTGGGACTAACTTAAGTGATGAGTATGGCAGCCAGGTTTTCTAACACCCTAGAAGTGTTGGAAATGGCTGTTCTTGATGAATGGGCAAGAATTCTTCAGGATTTTACCAGATGTTTCCTAGGAATGCAATGGCCAGAAGAGTTGGGAATGAATTTTGAAAGAATGAATATTGAAGGAAACAAAATTTTTTTTTTTAAATTAGGTAATAAACGGTTGCTTTTTAAATGTCTTGACCTTACAACCAAACCTATTTTTGGTATGCAAATTATGAATAAACCTAAATAAATTCAAATTTAAGGGGGGTGCGTTAATTTTGACCATCAGTTTATTTAAAACAGAGTAGAAAATTACCTTTTTCTTCAGTTTGAGTTTCTTCCTTCTCCTTTACAGATGTCAATTCTAAAAATAAATGATAAAATGTAATAATTTTAACAGTGCTAATGTGTTATAGTTAATAAAATTGTATTTTTCCATATAGCGACTTTCTTTCAAAGTGAAACTTATGCTCATCAGAATGTACGTGCATAACAACAATAAACAAGTTAGTACTTGTTTAAAAAATAAAATGTATAAAATCAATCCATCCTAGTAAATAGATTGGGTTTTGCTTAAAATTCAAATCAGCTATTATATATAAATTACATATAAACATTAATAATAAATTTAAAATTAAACAGTGCCATGAGTCTTGGGAATATTGTGCATAAGAAGAGCTTACGATCTGTAAATTTGGGATCTTCTTCTACAACGTTGCTGTGTGCATCTGTAAGCAACAATTAAATGAATGAATTAATTGAATAATTAATTAGGTAAAATAATTATTTAAAAAAACAAATACAGTCAAGCTAGAAACTAGGGCTCTTTTTTATTAAATAAATAATAACAAATAATAATCATACCTTCTTCTGAAACTTTTTTGAAATGTACACCAGGGATTACTGAAAAAATAGACTTTATTACAATCTACATTGGAAATAAGATCTATCCAAAAAATAACAGATACCAATTTTATTTATTTATTTTTTTGTTCTAAGAAAATTATGCAGATATAATCTTTATGTTACGATAAAAATGCTGATAGATTTATATAAAACTTGTGCATTATTAATAAACAAAAATTAATACTTACCCAAAGAATTGTCCATTTCCATAGATGTAAGCGATGACACTAAAAAAACGAAACATTTTTAATGTGTATGTATTTATAGTATTCATTTATTTAATTATTTATTTATAGACACAATGTATTAGAAGAGTATTGTAAGATCCAAAAAAAGTTTTAATAGTGAAACTTAGGTATGAATTGGTTTTATGTTTATATATGTTTGGTGTTGAAGGGGTGGGGAAGGAAGTCGGTATCGAAAAGACATTTTTGTGTATTTCTTGTGTTTCTTTGAAGTGAAATAAGCCGACAAAGGGGAAACAATATGTTGGTAATAGTTTGGCCAGATTGCTAGTTGATAGTTTGGCCAGATTGATAGTTTGGCCAGAAATAAAACTAAAAAAAAGAACTATTTAAGTCCAATTTTCATTATATATTTATATTAATTACTAAAAAAAATAAAAACAGATACAGTCAAACTTCCCATAATTGATCACTAATCATGAATGGGATTTTGGCCTGTTATATAAGAGGGGAGAGCACAGTCACTAATTTTCTCTTACTCATTGACTTATATGACTTTGATCATTTCTCTGATAGAAAGAAAATTTTTTCAACCTCTTCTCTGATTCTATGTCACCATCTCAATGTGAAAACTAACCGAGAAACCTCTTATCTATATATTGTGTCCGTTTGGGTAGTTCAACTAACCTAGTTTATAGGCAAGAAACTAGGGCTCTTTTTTTTATTAAATAAATAATCACAAATAATAATCATACCTTCTTCTGAAACCTTTTTGAAATGTACACCAGGGATTGCTGAAAAAATAGACTTTATTACAATCTACATTGGAAATAGTTCTATCCAAAAAATAACAGATAGCAATTTTATTTATTTATTGTTTTGTTCTAAGAAAATTATGCAGATATAATCTTTATGTTATGACAAAAATGCTGATATATTTATATAAAACTTGTGCATTATTAATAAACAAAAATTAACACTTACTCAAAGTACTGTCCATTTCCATAGATGTAAACGATGACACTAAAAAAACCAAACATTTTTAATGTGTATGAATTTATAGTATTCATTTATTTAATTATTTATTTATAGACACAATGTATTAGAAGAGTATTGTAAGATTCAAAAAAAGATTTAATAGTGTAACTTATATATGAATTTAATAACTGAACTAACTAGACCTAAGTAAGTAAATAAAACAAAAAAAAAGAACTATTTAAGTCCAATTTTCACTATATATTTATATTAATTACTGTTTATGAATGTAGAGCCCTCAGGAAGGCATAATAATAGCCAGAAGCTTGGCGGTAGTGCAATAATTTTCATTCTTGGACCATTCCCTGATCCGAAAACATCAATATTACAACAGCTGGTCAATCATTATGCCTGACATAAATTAGCCTCGTTAGATATACAAAACTTACTCTCAGGTTAGTTATTTAATAGAGTTATTATTAGAGTTAATTTAAGATCAAAATGAGATTCTACAAATCGAAATGTTAAAAAATTAGAAATAATTAATATAAAATATAAAGTGCAGGTACAAGGGACTCAATACACTAAATATTTCTTTAACAAATGAACAACCAGGCAAATGTGTTTAGTAAAAATACTCACTTTGAGATTTGGCATCGTCCTTCTCCTCTTCCATCTCCATTTCAACTGAAAACACTGAAACCAAAGTTTTTCGTTAGTATGCAACTTGCTGAACGATTTTCAGTGACTTACTCTTTGATGAGCCATCTGCTTCAGCTGGCTGTTCATCGACAAAAGCTAAATCGGGAAAAAATAAATCTATATTAGTTTGATATATTTCTTCTAGAAAAAACAGTGAGTTGTGGATATGCAAATACATAACCCATCCATAAACCCAACCCTCATCCTACCTGGCCAGCCACTAACCCAAACACTAACCTTAGCCCCCTAACCTCACCCATCCCCTAAACCTAACCATCCTTAACCTGTCTCTCAGCTTAACACTAACTGCACACTACTACTAACCTAACCATTTCATTACTTGTCTTTAAGCATAGCCCCCCTCACTAAGCCTAACTATAATCCAAGTGGTACCTGAATTGAACACATCCCAAAGAGTACTTAACCTAACCCCTATCTAGGGCTAGTATTAACCTTAACTGTACCTAACCTAACCTTCTGTAGCACTAATCATAAACTGTCTGAACCCTAATTAACCTAACCTACCTCTAAACCTTGAACTTGCCTTTTCAGCAGGTAGCTGAGAAGAGTTAGAAGGGAATAGAAACTTAGCTTCACTGTAGCCATTTGTGCACACTTTTACACTTTTCCCCAGGCGCAGTCAACTAACTAACCCCCTCTAGCAGGGATTATTTTATGTGGTTAAATTATTTATGGAAAAAAATTAAGAGTCAGTGGTAAGGGGTAAAATTTTAAATAATATTATATTCAAGCTGGAGTCCTCAACATCGGTAAATAGATGGCTGCCGAGTTGAATGTGTTAAGAAAAGAACATTTAAGGTAAACAATTATTTTAAGAGATAGAAACAAATTGTTTTAAATTTGTAAGGACGGAATTAAAACAAGTATAAAATATAAACAAAACTTACATGAAGAAGCATCACATTCTTCTCTAAGTTTAACTTCTAACTTTGATTCTAAAACAAATAAACAAAATTCATTTTATACACTATCCTTGGGTATTTGTCTATAATATAAGGTTTACCTTCTGCAGTTTGATCTGGTTTACTCAATTCCTTTGGTGATCCTAAAAACAATGTAAAAAAACAATTTTTAAAAAGATGGTTTTAAATTTATTAAAAACATAATTATTCCAAATGATTTATAACATTGAATTGTTCAAATAAAATAAACTTATCATTAACATTATCTAATAAATAAAACTTGAAAGAGATATATATATATTTTATATATATATATGTATGTATATGTATATGTATATATATATAAAATACTAACTTGGAGGTGTCTCATGGCTTTCGCTTGATTCAAATGTTTTTGGGATATTAACTGGCACATCTATTAACAAAATAACATTCATAAAATAAAGCAAATCGCTAATTTAAAATAATAACAATTTATAGTTTAAATCAACTCATAAAATTACATATCACTAGTCTACTTCAAATCTTCAATAAGGCAACTTTTTAAAGTGGAAATATGCTGACAAATTGGAAATTACTTTTAATTTAATATATAGCACATTATTTATATTATTAAGAAATAGTAATTCACAATCTTACTTTCATCTGCTAGACGTGTCTCCTTGACTTGAATAGATTCTAAAACCAAAACAAATTAAGATTTTTCAATATCAACAGTTGATGTCTAATGACTCAGAATATACCATCTTGGGGACTTTTTAAAAAAACAATTGCTGAAATGAACTACTAAATTTTTTAACAAACCTGGTACTAGGACTAAGCTCGGAAAAATACAGTAAATAGAATAGGCATTAAAACTTTTATAGCATTAAAAAAAATCATTATATGAACATAAGTATGATCTCTGATACAGGAGCCCTGGCCCTGAAGATGACAATAAAAAGTGCCGAAAGCTGTTCTTAAAAAGACCTCAAGATTATCCATTAAAGGCTGAATCATTAACACAAAATTAAAAGTTTTTACTGGCGAAGTCTTATTTTAGTTTAACTTACGTGGCACAGTTGTATCACATTCCTTTGGAAGATCAGCAGGTATGTCTGAAAGATAAAGGTTTGTGAGGTTTCTCATGTAATATTGACTTTAAAAAAAACCTTAAAAATTATATTGATAAAAAGCTTCTAATCAACGACATTATGATATGATGATCGAAAACAACAAGAATCTCACAATTTGTATAACCTAAGTAAACTCTGATATTTATGCTTCTCCCTGTCTTCTATTTGAAATATAGAAAAGCTCAATGATTAAAATTTTAAATCAACAGAACAAAACTTGGTGTTGAATGCTTCCTTTCTGGAGGCCCTAAATAAAAAAATTTAAAAAAAAATATTTTGTTGTCATTGATAACATCTATTCCCTGATTTACTTTGTGTAGAGAGGCTTTGCTGTCTGTAAGTTCACTAGGAGACTCTATAGCATTTCCAATAATATTAGAAACAGTTTGAAATAGCATAATTTTAAATAAATACACCAGAAAACATAATTAATCTTTACTGTGATAAAAAAAAAATATTGACGAGTTGATTGTATTGAAATTGTAAAAGTTTCTCTTTAAAACACCCTCAAATCTTATCTGTCAAAAGTATTGCTTTTATGCCACCAATTATATTTGTTTATATGCATTATTTTCCTTTGCTTCTAATCATGCATACATACTTACAAGAACAATTTACGGCATACTTACTTGGTTGAGTATCGCTGAATTCCATAGAGGTCAAAGTGTCTTTGCTTTCAACTGTTAATAGATAAAGAAATTGGTTCAGAATAGTACAATGGTACTAAAATAAAAGAATCCTGACACAGGTGTACAAAAATACTTACTCGGCCAAGAGCTGTTCTTCTCCTCAAAAGACACTGCAAAACATCAAAACATTAGTTTTATAATTATAATTGCAAGATATCAAAAGGAGAAGGCTTACTGTCTCTCTCGACATAAATAGATGCTTCATGTTGAGCAGGAGATTCTAGAAACAAACAACATTAATAACTAAATAAATTTGTTTTTAAATTCTGCTAAAAAAAATTGTAAATTAAATTGTTTCTAACTAATATAATACCCTAATGAAACAGGCAGTAGTTAAACAGTGAAAATTTTGGTTAGTTTCAAATAAGGTTTATATCAACAGAAAATGTATTATTTTATTGGATCAAGAATTTCAATGAAACATTTTTAATACTAGGTCAAAAAATATTAACATGTCAGGCCATTCTTGCTACGTCGCTCAGTCACAATTTATGTATTGTAATTCAATGGATGGGTCAAAGTTGCTTGCCCGCAGGTTGAAAGTAGGTTAAAAAAAATTTACAGGAAGAAATAAAGTTATATTCATTTCTTACACCTCAAAAAAAAGAAGAAAAAATCGAAATATAAATTTTCTCTCAAATTTTTCACTTTCCAAATGCCTGTAAGTTTCTCCGAAAACCACAAAAATGGTGATAACTTTGAAATAACACCACCGATCTACAGGAAAGTTTACAAGGCCTGGAACCTTCAAAAAAAGAAAAACCCTAACCTCCCTAACCATATCTTCATCCAGAAAGTGGTCGATACTTCTTATACTGAAAATAAAGAATTTTTGTTTATTTTATCCTTATTTTCCTCACTTCTAATGACACAGTCATGGTCTAATGACTTTTGATATTTCCTTAGTTTTATAAAGTTTTTCTAGATATTTTGACCAAATTTTAACAAGATTGATACACGAGATCAAGTTGAACTAGTCGACAGGCTACATTCGCTAACTCGCAACTCCCTCCACCGGGGGGTTCAAAATCGAACAATCGGAAAAGAAACATACTTTTACGAAGTTTTAACACCAATAACACCAAGTTGACATAGTCTGAGTTTTTAAATTTTTTTTCTGTTTTTTATAGCCTATTTTGTTGACCAGAGCACAAATCAATCGTATTGTTGAATTATGTTTTTTGGGGGAAAGGGGAGCATGAAAACAAAGGCCAGGGGCAATGATGAGAATTGAATCCACAACCATGGGGTATATGAGCTGAGAGTCTATCACAGTGACTACTGTGATCTCCTAGGCTGAAAGGATAGGAATTAAGCTTTCCAAAGGTTGTAACAATAATTCACTACTTTCATGGTTCGCTTGACCAATTAATACATGACAATTAATTAAGGTATTTAGTTGAGATGAAAAAAATGGCAAAAGGAGGGAAAACTCATAAGGTGAGGTTGAGATGGGAAGTTAGTGTCCGAGTGGATCAAAGTCACGATAGCTCAGGTGGCAGAGCAGCGGCGTATCTAGCCGAAGGTCGTGGGTTCGAATCCCTCTCGTGCCATTAACTTTTGTTCATCTTGACTAAATACCTTAATTGGTTGTAACAATGTTGAATTTGGATAAAATCAAGGGGAGTTAATGTTTTTAAAAGGAACAGTTGACATCAGAGAAAAAATTGCACTGGCTGAGCTAACAAAAAAAAATTATATTTTTTGTTTACTATAACAATTTCTGTTTAAGGGCTTTAAGAGTGCTTTAAACAAATAAGAATAGTGTTTAAATTTTGTTTTTTGTCTGCTTTACTGAGAGTTTTGGGTTTTGTATATTTTTTTTTAATTTACCATTTTACTATGACTTTCTTACCCTGTTAGAAAAAAATGAATTGACTGAGATAAAATAACCTTGAAATACATGTACAACGAAGACTCACGCTCAAGGCTCATAGACCACATGGTCGTCAGTTCAATTCCCACTGTCGCCCCAGGAATTTCTGAACACTCCCCCTTCCCCCCCACCAAAAATAAAATCATTTCATATCTTGGCTAACATGAAAGACATAGAACCATTATAAAAAAATTTACAAGAAAGTATTTAAATTACAATTCACTATTTTTCGTGGTCCACTTGACCAATTAATTTCATTCAATTAATTAAGGTTTTAAGTTGAGATAAAAAAGTCAGTGTCACAAGCGGGACTCGAACCCACGACCTTCGGCTTGATACACCGCTGCTCTTCCACTTGAGCTATCGTAACTTCGATCCACTCGGACACTAACTTCCCATCTCGACCACACCTTTTGAATTTTCCCTCCTTTTTGCCATTTTTCAAATGTCGTGTAATCGGACTGGATTCTCGATGACATATGAAATGGCCACGGAGAGCGTTAGTGAAGTATACTTCATTTTAATTCATTAAATTCACTATTTTTCGTGGTCCGCTCGACCAATTAATTTCATTCAATTAATTAAGGTTTTAAGTTGAGATAAAAAAGTCAGTGTCACGAGTGGGATTCAAACTCACGACCTTCGAAGTCACGATAGCTCAAGTGGTAGAGCAGCGGCGTATCAAGCCAAAGGTCGTGGGTTCGAATCCCGCTCGTGACACTGACTTTTTTATCTTGACTTAAAACCTTAATTAATTGAATTAAATTACAATATTTTTCCTCTCTCGGCTCCTAGGGCTTGGCAAGAAAGCTCAGACACATGTTCAACCTATTACCACCAAAAAAGTTTCACAATTTGAATCGGTGATCCAACAGACGTAGCCTCCCATTGTATTAAAAAATGATTTACAAATAAAGACAAGTTTCTCAAGGAAATAAGTGTGAAATACATTAACCAATTAATTAAATTACTGAAAATCTGACAACCATTTGAACAATTTTTGGTTTTCAAAGAAATTAGTAATGTCCTTGACTGACATTTTGGACAGTCTGTATTGTTTATTGAATTATTAATAATCATGTATGTCAGGCAAACCGTGTTGCCTAAAGTGAAAAAAACTAATTCGTTCAAAAACAAAACTTTAGAAAGGAGAACTGAAGTTTGTTCAGTATTGGCATACTTTATTTACTTCACAGAGAAACACTGAAGCAAATATGTAACTTAACCTGTTTTTAACTCTACTCAACCTGCCTGTTGCATCACATGCTCATTCACATCAATTCGGTTTGCAATTTGTGTTTCCTAAAACATTGCATTGCAGTCAGTGTAAACACCGTATAACCAATGGTAACCCAACCTTAATTCTACCCCTACTGAACCCAACCTAATCCATCCCTAACCCTAACCCTACAATTAACCCAACCCAACCCATTCGCACTCCCAAATAATGTGATAATGATCACACATATCACACACATACACAGAAAATGTATCCAGCCCAAACACATAACTATGTAAGTTTAAACAAATTACCTATCAGATCCTCATTGCACTCTTTGGAAGAAAAATCATCTGGGTATTGAATCGGTGATCCTGTTAACAAATAAATGAACACATTGGTTAATAATATTTTAAGCGGAATGCTGAACATTGGCTTAAAAAAATACCCCAGCTGTTACACCACAAACATTTGTATTTTTTGTTTGCCATCAAAATTTGGAATTAAGGGCTTTTAAATGGGGCTTATAACAAATAAGAATTGTGCTTTTAAAAAAGAAAATTTTTATTGGCCTACTTTACTGAAAGTGTGTTTGGTTCTTGTAACTTTTTATATATTTTACCCGTTTAATATGACCTTGCATGTTATTTTCTTATCCGACGTAAAAAGCCCAAAAACATATCTAGGTTAAAAAAATTACCTGGCATAACTTCATCGCACTTATTAGAAGTAATATCGTCTGTGGATTGAATCGTTGATCCTGTTAACAAATAAATGAACCCATTGGTTAATAATATTTTAAGTGGAATGCTGAACATTGGCTTAAAAAAATACCCCAGCTGTTACACCACAAACATTTGTATTTTTTGTTTGCCATAAAAATTTGAAATTAAGGGCTTTTAAAGGGGGCTTAAAACGAATAAGAATTGTGCTTTTAAAAAATAAATTTTTATCGGCCTACTTTACTTAAAGTGTTTGGTTCTTGTAACTTTTTATACATTTTACCCGTTTAATATGACTTCGCATGTTATTTTCTTATCCGATGTTCCAAAAACATATCTAGGTTAAAAAAAATTACCTGATATAACTTCATCGCACTCATTAGAAGTAAAATCATCTGTGGATTGAATCGGTGATCCTGTTAACAAATAAACGAACACATTGGTTAACAATATTTTAAGTAGAATGCTGAACATTGGCTTAAAAAAATACCCCAGCTGTTAGACCACAAACATTTGTATTTTTTGTTTGCCATAAAAATTTTGAATTAAGGGCTTTTAAAGGGGGCTTAAAACGAATAAGAATTGTGCTTTTTTTAAAATAAAATTTTATTGGCCTACTTTACTGAAAGTGTGTTTGGTTCTTGTAACTTTTTATATTTTGTAATATGACTTTGCATGTTATTTTCTTAACCGATGTAAAAAGTCCAAAAACATATCTAGGTTAAAAAAATCACCTGGCATAACTTCATCGCACTCAGAAGCAAAATCGTCTTTGGATTGAATCGGTGGTCCTGTTAATAAATAATCAAACATGTTGGTTAACAATACATTTATAATTTTTAATTAGTATTTATAATTATATAGTTATTTATATGCGTATATATACCCCATATATATATCTTAGGGCTTAAACTTGATTTACTTTTAAGAGTGATCTCAGTTTCACTATTTTCACTGACAGGTAAATCTAAAAATTATCATAATATTAACTTTTTTGCATTTTTAATAATAATATAACAATAAATAACAAGTAGATAAATCAATTATAAATTTTATAGCGTGTAGTCTGATACTTAACAAATTAGTACATTTTGTTGATACTAGAACAATCATGCTGTAATAGACTTTTTGGCATAATGAAAATTGATTAAAGTATATTGTCACATTTACTTTACTTTTGGTTTTTACTTACTTGGTAGATGATCATCTTTCTCTTCTATATCAGATGTCACTGGAATGAATAGTTAGAAGTTAAAAAAAAAAGTAACAAGAATGTTCTAAGAATTTAATCGATAGACTTACCTGCCCTCTCAGTGGGCATTTGTGGTTCTTCAGGTTCCCTGGGCGTTTCTTGGAACAAACCAGAAAGAAAATTACTACCAAGCAGTCGCTGAATAAATTAAGTACATTTTTTTAAACCATTATACAGTTTTTATTTACAATTTACATGCACATGTGCAATTTATTTACATGCATGTTTAAAATTTATTTACATGCACGCGTAGAACAAAGAAGCCGCTGGAATAACAACACTTCCCAAGCTATAGGCCCAGAGGATACAAAACTATTATAATCAACTAAAGTAAGAAATAGAAAGCGTATAAACAAGTAAGTGAAATTGAATTAGCCCATCAAATTGTAGCGGATCAAGAAAGAACGTGTCATTTTATGAAAATTAGATAATAAACATATATCAGAATATAACAGGTTAAAAAAAATTATATTCCCTTTGGGGCTACTGGTTGGATGGTTTAGTCTATATTTGTGTTCTGTGTTAAAATATAACAGATTTCAAGGCAAATTTCATATTATTAGACTTAATTATGGAAATTGAATGTTTGTCATAATTAAAACTTATTATGAATTTTCTATGTATGATGAAATGATACTTCACTGTATAAAGCTGTTAAGGTAGGCATGCACATATCAAACAGAAAATAATTGATTGACATACTGTCTGGAGAGCTGGAGACTTCTGGCAGTTGTACAAAAGATTCTACAAGCAAAACAAGATATTTAATACACAAAAATGTCGAAATTGACTCGAATTCAGAATCTTCTGGAATTTGTTTAATCATACTTATAACAGTGAAAATTTGTATACAATCGAAGATATTTTATATTTACAACTTGTTATTACTTACGCTCTTTTGTTCCGGTAGGTTGTTCCTTTGGTATGATCTCTGATTCTAAAATGAAAAAATACATAAAATTAATATAACAAATTTAAGCAAGAAGATTTTTAAAAGTGACTTAAATTCACAACAGATTTGATATTGATTGAAAAACTTACTTTCTGAATGTTCTTGAGCATCTTCTGAAAATTGAAAATATGTTTCTAAAAATCAGAATAAGTCATTGAAAGTATTCTGTATGAATTATGTTATTATGTCACAAAATAAATAACCACTTAACTTACTTTCAACAGAACTGGAAACTTCTTCAAAGCGAATCGGTGAATCTGGCGAATTAAGAAATAAAACATTAATGCGTATAAATGTATTTTAATTCACAATAAGTGGAATTAAATAAAGCCTACGTTCTGCACTGCCTTGCAATGGTGTGGTCTTGTTAGAGCTATCTTCTAAAAATAAAATAAATTTTAAAAAAATTATCTAGTGAAAATTTCAATTTTGCTTCACATATTAATTAATATTACGTTATTTATTCATTGACTATTATGAATTAAGTATGAACATGGTCAATTGAGTAATTGAGAACTTGTCAGACGGTGGAAATAAATACCAAATAAAAAACTAATTTTACAAAAAAGTTAAAATAAAAGACAAGGCTAAAACTATCTTGGACTTATCATTCAACATAATTATTGAAAACAGAGCGAACCGGAATGTAAAAAAAAAAATAGTTGAACTTGTATAGAGATGTGGCTCAAAGATGGGCCGATTACAAGCCTGATCGCTAGCTATAGAAACATGAGCACATAAAGTACATAATAAACATCTCAAGGGTGCTCTCGACTCCAATTTAAACAAATAATGTAATGTATATACAAAACAGTCTTACACTGATAAACATAATTATGAAGTTACGTTCTAACAAAAACAAAAAAATAAAAATATTGGAAATTACCAGCTGTGGAAGTATACAAACTGCGTTCCGATGACTGAGAAGATGAATCTAAAATAAAAATAAAAAGGGGCGTTACTAATCCACATGTACAATGCAAAGAAACTAATTTTTAATTTTAAAAATACTCACTCTTTGACGAGCTATCCCAATCCTTTGCAAACATATCAGCATCTATGGAGAAATAAATTTGTGAAAATTTCAAAAATAATTATGCTAATGCTGTAAATGTTATACATTTTACAACATATTTTATTATTTTTCATCAATAAATGTATGTTAAATTGAAAAACATCAGGGAGGGAAAATAAAATTTATCATCAATAATATTGCCATGAGCCAGGATTTTTGGCTCTTCCTATCAGTTGTTTATATATTTCTCATATTAACCAGTAATACTTTTCATTGCCTCCGAATACTTAAAAAAAATAGCCAATATAATTCTTGAGTGTCACAACTTTGTACCTTTCAAATTCCATAAATACACATTTTCATAGCAAAGAAAAAATATACATTTTTCAACTGGATCAGTCAGGGAATTTTGTTTTGTTTTGACTGTCCACTGTGTGTTTCACTTAAAAAACGACAAAACCTCTGTATTTCATCCAAATTCATTATTACAACCGTTAGAAAGCTTAATTTCTATTCTTTCAGCCTACCTCAACATGGTTTAGACTATGCTATTATAAGTGAGAAATATAAGGATGAAATAAACAAAAAATTTTTCAACGTTTCATTTTATATCACTGGTTCTAATTTATTAAAGAAAATCAAGTTTGTGTATTATGTGTAGTTTATAGAATTCTAAAACCATGTATAAATTCCAGTGGATCAGTGACTCCTTTCAAAGCTATCATAATTTTTGTTATTTTTGAAAACAATGGGAGGTGTTTAAAAGACAAACAATTTGAGAAGAAAAGAGAGAAGAAAAATTTGTATTCAGGGAAATTTTTAGGGTGCAAAAAATCAATATCAACTTTTTTTTGGCATCGCCATTTGAGCATCCACCATTTTTGTTATTATTATTTTTTTTAAATATCAACTTGTTTCTTGCTGAAAAAATTAACATATTGTTTTGTATTTATTCTTAATTTATTTGTTTACTTTTTGTTTTATTTAATTTTGCGATTTTTTACTCTATTTTAACCTACTACTTTTACTATAACTTTTTACCAAAAGCAAAATTGATATTTCTTGGCTGCACCCTCTAAGAACACTAAATACATTTTTTTTTCTCAGCTCCTAAGGCCTATTGACAAGAACACCCAGACATCTAATATGTTTTTTACCTAGTATCACCAAAAACAAAAACTGAAATCATTCATCACACGTCCATAGTCCATTACTAGTGAAAAAGGTGTCACATAAAACTACTGCTTAAATATTCACTTAATAATTTCACAAAACATGATAAACTATTGGTGACCATTGCACAAAAAAAATACACTGAACATAAATTTCCATATCAAACGTTTTAATATAATACTTACTCTTCTGACAACTGTCTGTATCCTTTACAAAGTGAAAGGACGATTCTAAGCAAAAACACAGTTCAATTACAATTTATTTCAAACAATTTCGAAGCCGGCTAATGTGAAGTGTCAAAGTACCTTTTTCAGTGTTCAGTATTTCTTCAATTGACTTAAATGGTGATCCTATAAATTTATATCTTGTATTATTAAATTATGTTAATTTAATAATGAAATTATAATAGAATATAACAAGTTCAAACTATTTCGTTCCACTTAGGACTACCGGATCAATTATCCTTGGGTTTGTTATATTGTTTGTTGGTGTTTTTAATGGATTCGAGTATGTTCATTTTTGGTACTTTATTTAGTAGTTTCATGCTTGTTTGTATTGTCGATGGTTCATGGTTGTTTTCTACTACGTGAATCATGAAATTCGATTTCTGTCATTGTCCCTAAATGATTAGATACATTCCCTGTATCTGCTTTTAATTTCTCATCCTGTCATTTATGTTANTACTGATTTAACATCAGTAAATAAAGTTATTTTATACTCCTCCTTTTATCCCTTGAAAATCAGGATGGTAAATGTGTAATATATTATATATATATTGTGTTTTTGTTTTTTTCTAATTGGGCAGTCTTGTCGAAGTTTGTCTTTAATAATTTGCTTACTGTGTGCCCTGTATTACGAGCTGATAATTCACTATATAAAACTCTTAAAATCCTATTCAATAATAACAATTATACTTTGTTATGAAGATAAAAAGTTAAGTTGTGTACTCCATTTATTTCTTATTATATGGTATTTTTAAAACGCACCTGTTGGTGAAACCTCTATCTCCTCGGCGATGTTATCTGGTGATCCTTTAAAAAGAAAAATAAGCATATATAAATTTTCAAATGTAAAATGGCAAAAGATGAAAAATTACCTCCAGGAGACATCTCGATCTCTTCAACGATATTTGCAGGTGGCCCTAAACATTACAAATAAATAAATAGTAAGCATTTCATGTTAATATAATAGGAAATAATAAGACATTTAGTCTAAACATAGGGAGAAAAATGGATGGAAAATGTTCAATGGTATCAGAGAGGAAAGAAATTAAGTTTATAAATCAATATATTTCCTTCTTTTTTTTTTTTAAATATAAAATTCTACAAGGATGTAATTCAATGATGCACATACCTTTTTCAAGTAGAAAGTCTCCATCAAGTAATACGGTATTTGCATTATCTGCATCTAAAATACAAAAAGAAAATTTTAATTTTTTTACAATTGATAATCAAAATTTACTGAGTTATCGATACCCTAAAGCATTTTAGCAGTTAATGTTTTCACTTTTCTATAGTTGAATATTTTAACATGTATAGTTCAAACATTTAATTCTGTAAGACATTGAGTAAATTAACAAAATCACTCTTGTTTGCATATCAGGACATACAGTGAAGAGTAGGCCGAAAGGCCAATATAAGTTCAGCCAGGACATCAGCCCTGAAACCTTTTATAGCAAAAAAAGACCAAAACTGTCAAAAACATCGAACGATTAGTTAAGAATAAGTTCTAAGTATAGTAAGTGTTAGGACTAGGATGAAAGGACAACTGACTCTGGAGGTATGTAGACTAAAAGTATATTATCATTATTATTAGACCAAAGCAGCAAAAACGAGCCTGTGCAGATATTGCAAGGAAGAAGAAGAAACAGAGAAGAACATGTCCACTGTCGATGCGGAGGCCTATGAGGATACACACAACGCCCTTAACAAAGCTTTGGGATCTGCTAAAAATCTTAACAAATAGACTAAAATGGAGGATGCACAATAAGCCAATATTGGTCACAGAGCACAAGATCATAAAAAGGTTGACTCGTTTTAACTTAAACTTAGGTAGGATTATGAAAGGGTTAGGTTTTGCAGGGTTGGGGTTAAGGTTTTTAAATTTACAAAAGATTAAAAAACATACTACTCAATAGACTCCTTTTAAACCTTAACCTTAGGTATGGTTAGGGTTAGGGGGGGTAACCTTATGTAGGTTTAGGTTAGGTTCGGCTAAGGATGGTTAGGGTTAGGGGGGGTCCTTAGGTAGGTTTATGTTAGGTTAGGTTAGGTTAGGGTTAGGGCTAGGGCTAGGGCTAGAGTTAGGTTAAGGTTTTTAAATTCACCCGTTATACAACTAAATGTATAAAAGTATGTAATATGTATAAAAAAAATTGCTGCACAATAGACTCTTTTAACATTTAACTTTCAGAGACAATAAGAAACATTTATGTAATTTTTATAATACTAGTAACAAATATAAATTGAAAACCACCTTTAACTGCTAAGAAATTGCTAGAAAAATTATATAACTTTTAATGTGTAAACTAAACTAATAATAATAATATGGCCTTCCAATTTAAGAATTTTAAAAAGGATAAATTAAAGCTTAGATGGCGATAGGATAAATTAGTTTACGAGTGAATATTTGGAATCAGAGCTTTATAGCACTCAGAAGGGATATAGCTAAACTAAGATAGAAGGTTTGGGATGTTAGGGCGTGAAATGACCTTAGCCGTTAAAACGCCCTTAAAAATTAATAATAATAATAATAATACCTTTTGAGGAACTGTGCATCTCTTCTTCATTCATTCTCGAGTCTGAAAGAGTGAAATGTGGCAATATATTAAATCATCAATTTAAGACAATATTAACTGATATATAATTATTTATTACATGAAATAATCCTAAAACACACAAATACTATAAGTGAATGTAAATTCAGATATTACCTTCTGATGAGCTAGATTCTTCTTTATTCTCTTCTATGTTGAATTTAGGGGACCCTGTAACATTCATAACGTATAAAAATAAAATATATGTATATTTATATATTTTTTAAATAGACATATGGTAAATTCCACAAAGACACAACGCACAGTAATTGAACAATTTTGAGATTTTACATTTTAAAGTACAGCACAAATGGAAAAAAAACTATCATTTCAATTAGAAGCCAAGCAATTTCGACATTTTACAACTTAGTAGTTGTCGATAATTGTGGTCTAATGATCCTCACTTTGCTGACCTGAAGATAATAAAATAATCATAGTTACATGAAGAAATCACACAATTGAACATTATACAAGTTTAAAAAAATTGTTTTATAATGTGATAACCGACCACTGATCGTATTAATTCAAAAGTAAATATTTCGGGCAAGTTATTTAAATTACAAAATATATAATTTGAAGTTGTTTAGTAAAAAAAGGTAACTTTTAATTTATAAACTAAAAGATTATGTGACTGTTGTGTTTTTATGAAAATCCCTCATTTTTAACATCTAGCCGTTCTTACATTTGGAATTGCTGTCTACTTCTTCTTCTAAGTCCGCAACAAAACCTACAATGGATAAAGAGAATTTTTAAAAAGACACAAATCATTTAGATAACATGACAAAATTGATATTCTCACCTTCTCGAGAGTTTTGAATGAAATCTTCACTTCCTATATTTACGTCTAATGATTCTGCAATACAAATTACAATATCAGTTTATAAAAAATGAAATTTAAAATTTTTATTTAAAAGCCAAATAAAACTACACTTCATTACGCAGTCGATCACTTACCACCTCTTGTTTCATCCGTTTTTACTGAAGATACTGTAAAAATAAAATAAAAATGTCAAAAACTACAAAGAAAAAGTGTTGGTTAGTGCACTAAAAATCGTATAATTTTAATTATAAAAATCAGTTCTTATTATGAAAAAATATTACCTTCTTTAGACTGAGAGTCATATTTTGTTTTGAAGCTCATTGTTTCTATATCTGAAATAAATTAGTGAATATTTTATTACTGTAGCGTTAATTAGATTCTAATCAAGAAGGCTATGTTTTAAAATTACAAAAATATAAAATTAAATATCAAAACAAATGATTCTTCTATTAATTGAAGCTTTTTTAAATACAAAATAATTGGTTTATAAAATAATTATTGTATATTTTTATAAATTTTAAAATTAATAGAAGAAACATTTGTTTTGATATTTAATTTGACATAATTTTTAATTTTAATGGTAATAAATTTTCACGTTGTATTTTATATAAGAACCCAGTTTGTATTTTTAAAAAATCTCAAATTAAAAGAAGAATCCTTAATTTTTATATTTAGTTTATATATAATTTTAATTGTTATTAATTTTCATAGGTTCTTCTAAGAGCCCAATTATTTTGTATTGATAATTTTTTTTAAATATTTAAAAACAAATTACAGCAAAAGAGGAATTTTACTATACAATATTTTATACCATCTCCTAGTTTAAAAAAAAGCTTTAAAAAAGGGGAATAGTATGTATATAACCTGTAGGTTATATACATATTATTCCCCTTTTATATATACATTTATACATATACAGAATAAGTATATAGCTTTTTTGATTAAAACTGTTAGTTTATTATACTATTAGTGTGCCAAAGAAATGGAAAATATACAAAAATAATCATAAACTTTATTCTTACTACGGGCATTGAAGGGTTAATGTAATTCTAAGTTTTTAATAGTACTTAATCAAAACAATATCCTTAATTTAACAATATTTTCAGACAAAATGGTAACACTTACCCATTGATGAGTATTCATCTTCTTCGAGCAATGGGGAACCTATAGTAAATAAACATATGTAATGCAATAAAATAATTGTATTAAAAAAAATTTAATCTATTCATGAAAGTTACCTTTTATTGAAGTTTTATCATCATAAATACTACCAAGTGGTTCTAGAAAACAATTTTATAGTTAAAATCATTCATGAGTTGATTGTTTTATATACGTGTAACTTTGTGAAAAAAGAATAACATTTGTTAACAACTTAAAAATTGAAATGTATCTAATGCATGTTGTCACTTTTTTATTTCTAGATTAAACACCATATTCGTACAATTTATATTTATAACAGTTCAATAAATAGGTTGATCTTCTCTAATCATCCTAGTCTGCCAAACTGTGGATTTGTCTGCAGACAAAAATAGCAAGGATGAGCCAACCAAGATAATTAGAAACGACCAAATAGGATTTTCAACATTTTCAAAAATAAAGTAAACGTTAAAATTTATAATTGTTATTTTATTTATTTTTTCCTAGTAATTGTTTATTAACAAAATGCTTGGCAATAAAATGATTTCCACCTGTTGGGCCATCATTTTATCCCCTTTTACCAATATGTTAAAGGGAAGTATTACAATATCAACAAGAGTTGAGCTTTTAGTTTGTACTTAATAGAACTATTTTAATAAAATTACCTTTCGAAGAGCCATGAATTTCTTCTACAACCAATGGTGAGTCTGAAAATAAAAATACAACAATCAAGTTTATTAATTGAATATACAGGGTGAATTGCTACTCGTGCTACAAACTTCTCCAGTAGATTCTTCACCCTAAAATGAACAAAAAAGTTCATATTGTCCATGGTCCGATTCTCAACCATTTCAGAGTAATTTCGCTTTTTATCGATTTTGAAAGATATCACGTCCTGGCGTCGGAAAATCGTGATATCTTTTAATCTAAACATTTCTCTGAAAATCTAATAGCACCGTTGAAATTCCCGTTAATTTTTCAATAAGAAGATGACGGTGGCAAAATGTTTGGGCTAATTTTTTGTGTTTTATTTCAGCCAGAACTACAAAAAGAGTGGAAAATTGTGTAAATCGGAAAGTGTATAAAGTAATCCAGAGTTTCTAATTTTAGTCTCAGAAGGCAGCAAATTTGAGGAAAACTACCTGATTTAATAACGCTTCCAACGCACTCGTCATTTTCTTATTTAGTGGTTGTGAGACCAAGATGTTGATGACAAAAAGAGAAAAAATGGTGGTTCAAGGATTGCTAATGTTTGAGAGTGACTTGCTACTCGTGCTACAAACTTCACCAGTAGATTCTTGACCCTAAAATGAACAAAAAAGTTCATATTGACCATGGTCCGATTCTCAACCATTTCAGAGTAATTTCGCTTTTTATCGATTTTGAAAGATATCACGTCCTGGCGTTGGAAAATCGTGATATCTTTTAATCTAAACATTTCTCTTAAAATCTATAAGCACCGTTGAAATCCCCGTTAATTTTTAGAGAGAATCAAAATCATAATTCCATTGAAATTTTTTAATTTAATTTAATGCCCATTTAGTATGTAATGCTTAAGAAGTTTACAAACAGCTAGAAGGTCAAGGAAGAAAGACCCAAACGTTTTGCCACCTTCATCTTCTTATTGAAAAATTAACGGGGATTTCAACGGTGCTTATAGATTTTAAGAGAAATGTTTAGATTAAAAGATATCACGATTTTCCGACGCCAGGACGTGATATCTTTCAAAATCGATAAAAAGCGAAATTACTCTGAAATGGTTGAGAATCGGACCATGGTCAATATGAACTTTTTTGTTCATTTTAGGGTCAAGAATCTACTGGTGAAGTTTGTAGCACGAGTAGCAAGTCACTCTCAAACATTAGCAATCCTTGAACCACCATTTTTTCTCTTTTTGTCATCAACATCTTGGTCTCACAACCACTAAATAAGAAAATGACGAGTGCGTTGGAAGCGTTATTAAATCAGGTAGTTTTCCTCAAATTTGCTGCCTTCTGAGACTAAAATTAGAAACTCTGGATTACTTTATACACTTTCCGATTTACACAATTTTCCACTCTTTTTGTAGTTCTGGCTGAAATAAAACACAAAAAATTAGCCCAAACATTTTGCCACCGTCATCTTCTTATTGAAAAATTAACGGGAATTTCAACGGTGCTATTAGATTTTCAGAGAAATGTTTAGATTAAAAGATATCACGATTTTCCGACGCCAGGACGTGATATCTTTCAAAATCGATAAAAAGCGAAATTACTCTGAAATGGTTGAGAATCGGACCATGGTCAATATGAACTTTTTTGTTCATTTTAGGGTCAAGAATCTACTGGTGAAGTTTGTAGCACGAGTAGCAAGTCACCCTGTATAGTGAAGTTTGTGTTTATATTAAATCATATGTACAGCCTGTAAGTTTCAAATCATTGCTATCAAGTATATTCAAGGATTACCTTCTGAAAAATTTGAATCCTCTTTACTTTCCTGGATGTTGAATTTCGGAAACCCTACAAAAATCACACCGACAAATTATAATAATCTTTATATCTTTATTAATTTGTAATGCTGATGAAATTGTTCAATTAGAAAATTACATTTAGAATTGCTTTCTGCATCATCCCCGAGGTTCATATCCAGACCTACAACAGAATAATTGATTTCGTAATTAATTTTAGCAGTTTTTTTAAATATCCTTCTACATAAAATTATAGTTATTACCTTCTTCTGAGTTTTGAATGAAATCTTCATCAGCAATATTGATACCTACTGAAATAAATTGCAATAATTATAACATCAAACATGGTAACATTAAATTAATTAGTAAAAATTTCTTTTCGGTTGAATAAGTAGTAACTGTAGATACAATGACAGGCTTACGCTGTTTAGCACAACCCTTCATAATAACACAGATTCGCTATATATATTTTTTTAAAGAAAACATTAATTACATATACATACATAGAACTAATAATGTTTATGTACTTATCATCATAAATTTAATAATTATATTTTGAATTTAGCAAGTAAAGCACATTTGGACAATTAATTCTTTAAAAAGATTCAGACAAGCAGGAGGAAACAAAACAAAAACTGGTCAGGTGTAGTCTGAAATAAAAAATTTTTTGAAAGAAAGTGAATATCATTCAGCTGAGCTGATTAGGGAGACATGAAGAATCCATCATCAAATTGATTGAATTCAAACTACAGCCTTTGACAAACAAAGAACTTCTAGGATTAAAATTCTAAGTAGGAGTGAAAAAAGAAAAAGAAGAGGAAAGAAAGAAGAACCTCATAAAACATAGTGAATTTGATCAATATTCAAATAATTAAAACTATGTATCAATATCGTACGCTCTCTTTGGTAAGTGACCATACACTTATAGGGTATGTCTTTTCATGAGGTTACTTTCGGAGTTTATTCACTAGTGTGCCTTTTATTGGGAGATGTAAACCATTAAAACGACTTGTATTCTAAATTTTTGTTTCAATGTATTTTATTTTATTTTTTATTTTTTTATTTTTTCGAAAGTTGACAATTGTTTTATGGCACTCTAGTTCATCTGTGCTTTGTTTTGGGGAGTTTTTTGGCCTAATGTACCAATTAAAAAAAAAAAAAACTTACGCCTTGCAGGATCTTCATCTTCTCCCAGCATTGGAGACTCTTCTACACAATCAAATAAAATTTACTATTAATTTTTTTTTTAAATCTTCATCGCCTATACTTAACGTATTCTTTTTCTAAATTATTACTTTTTATTATCTGATTGCTAATATCAAATGTACAAATAAGCTACTGATAATCCAGACATTCAATTATAAAGTGATATAATAAAAACAAATCCTACCTTTTAGTGAGTTGTCATCGTCATAAATGGTCGCAAAATGCCCTAAAAAGGAAAATCGTTATTGTTTTTCAACATGGTTATAAAATTTTGTCATTACTACTGGCTATATTATTAACTTTTTTCACTTTAGAAATTGGATCACTTGGTTGAACCCCACAGTTCAATTTTGTATTTCCAGATTGATGGGATTAATGTTCCAAAGCTTTCAAGGATGAAAATTAAGTGTTTCAGGAGTTTTTCAACTATTTTTCCAAATAAAGGCAGCAAAGTGATGGGATGATATGACATAAGGAGATGCTGGTTTTTTTCTAATTTAGAATTGGATTTAATGATTAACTGATTCCAATGGATTGGTAGAAGACAGTTCTACTACTGGCTTGTAAATGGTGGAAACGAAAAATTGAAGCTTTTTCCATCAAAATACTTCAGTATTAAGTTAAATGAAATAGAATATGCTACAAAACTTACTAGTTGCAGATCCTTCTTGATCTTCTCCAAACATTGGGGATTCTATAAAAATGAAAAATTAATAAATTAACTAAGCTTAAAGTACTTCAATAAATATTGTATGTTAAAGATATAATTATTACTATATATTTTTTAAATTTATTTTGTCATAATCATTATTAAATTTGAGTTTTAACATAATGAATAAGATTTATTGTTGTTTTTAGGCTAATTTCAGAAAAAATTTATATATATTTTACTAAGACTACAAATAGCATATATTTTAAAAGTGCTTACTTTCTGGAGAGTTATCGCGTATTTCTATCACTTCGATGGAAGAATCTGCACAGATGATAACATTGTTAAAAATAAAACAAACAACAATTAAGATTGAAAGAAATAATTTAGGTTGTACATCAATTCACTGGTTGAAAAGGATAGTTCTATTCACAAAATTTTTTATAGTTCTTTTTCCCCAAAGAACAGCTGATTTTGTAGACATAGTTTGAAAACAGAACTACCCATTCCAACAAGTAAGGAACTGAAATATTTTCTTTTGATACATCCTTATCGGCTATAAGTCAAATTATTTACACTACTCACCATCTGAATATGAAAAATCTGCTGATTCTTTAACAAGCCTCCTTGACTCTTCTAGAAACAAATACATATACATGTAAAATAGAGGTTTAAATTATTTGTATATGTCATCTAGGGACATAAAAAATAGTTTTAATATTAAACACGGTACCATGTAAATATGCAAACCACGAGGTTTACGGCATTCTACTCCACTTTAGATGTACTGTCACCTAACACGACGAGGTGACTACCACGTATATCAGAGTTGGGCATAATCGATTAATTTTTTAATCATAATTAATGATTAATTAATTGTCAAACTATTCATGATTAAAAAGTTAATCATTAATCGTTAATCAGATTAAACAATTGTCATTCAATGTAATTATTTACATAACAATGCCGCACCGAGCTTTTACTCATATAATTTTTGACAACAAAAAAGTACAACATTCGTTAAATATTTACGATCTGTATAGTTAATCATGATTAAAAATAAATTGTTTTTCTAGGTAAAACCATTAATAGTTTGGTATTTTAATAATAATAATAATAATAATAATAATAATAATAATAATACTAAGGAATAATGTTTAGCGGAGAGTAAGGATTCTGATTTGACTTATGTTTTGATTATAATCATAGAATAATACTTTATTCGTCATGCAATGCACGACTAAATATTATTCATATTACAATACAACCAAAATCCTCTGAACATTAATTTTTCATTAAATTCACTAATTTCGTGGTCCGCTTGACCAATTAATTAATTTTATCTCAACTAAAAACCTTAATTAATTGTATTAATTTTTCATTTTAGATAACAACCAAAATGAAAGTTGCAAAACTACAAAGATTCATTATTTTCAGACCATAGCTAATATAAAAGGATCTGATAAAATCCTAATACAGTAATGATTAATGATTAGTTAAATCAATCTCAAATTTGATTAACAATTAATTTAATCAATCTCAAATTTGATAAACGATTAGTGGTTAATCGTTAATCGAGCTGCTGATGATTAAATTAATCGTTAATCATTAATCAAATTTGAGATTGATTAAATTAATTGTTAAACAAATTTGAGATTGATTTAACTAATGATTAATAATAATCAGTTGAGATAAAATTAATTAATTGGTCAAGCAGACCACAAAATTAGTGAATTCTGCAAATGTACATACAAATTTATGCAGAGTTAAGTATTTAGATATCATTTACTAAAGCTGGGTGGTGAAACGGTTCTTGATATTCTGCCATCACTATTCAACTCTAATCTAATTGAGGGTCGATTAGGTACTCAATATTAACTCTAAACATGCACGCTAATAGATTCGATTATTTGGAGATTGTGAGATACAGTTTGGTGTGACGTAGGTTTTAGAAAAACATTTTCTTTATCGTGCCAACGTTTCGATCTTATTGGATTTGAGATCATCTTCAGGGCCTGGGATTTATAAACATTGTTTAAATTTTACCAATACATGTAGGATGTGTAAAAAGGTGAATTTATACAGTGCTAGAAATTTTAGACTCAAAGTATTTGTACTCACTCAAAGTGTTTGTTTTCTGTGTAGATGTGTCACTACTCTGTGTCGTGTTAAGAGTGCCAATGAGATATTGATGTTTTATGTTTTTATACATTGGATTTTGAAGAGTGGGGAAGGAATTAGGGATGGAAAAACATTTTTATATGAGGAATCGGCTTCTTTGAGGTGAAAGAGCCGACAATGAGAAAAAATGGGTAACGGTTCGGCCTGATTAGCATTTCAGATGGGGATAATTAGGGAAAGGAGAGACAAATTGTAGAAGAATTAAACTATGTAGAAATGTTTGATGTGTGGAATGTAATAATTGTTTTATATGTTTTGGGTTTATATGTATGTTAATGATATTGAATTTGATTAATGAAATTAGTGTAGCTGCAACTGAGTTTACGTGTATCTGTTCTGTAATTGATGTGTTTACTTATGTTGATGTAAACCTTTTCCTAAAAAGTTACGTTTATGTTTGTTTTGTTCTGTGTGTAATATTTTTGGATTCTTTCACCTGAAAGAAGCTGACTCCTCATAGAAAAATGGATTTCTATCCCTACTTCCTTCCCACTCCTTCAAAATCCAACAAACAAAAAACATTAATATCTCTCTGGCACTCTCAACATGACACACAATAATGACTTATTACTTATGAACTTAAACAATGTTTATAAATCCCAGGCTCTGAAGATGATCTCAATAAAGATCGAAACGTTGGCACGATAAAGTAAACGTTTTTCTAAACCTACGTCACATCAGACCTCTCTCATCTCCAAATAATCATTAATTAATGGTCACTAAAGACCACACACACGCTAATAGATACATTCACTCTCAATATACACAAAAGCGGATACAAAACAAGAAATCTGTACTATATACATTTTTCCCAACAAATTAACACCAAATTAACCCTTGTTAACTTCAAATTAACTTTTTTTAAAAGTTCAAATTAACCTTTTTTAACTTCAAATAAAATATTACTTTAAAGCATTAAAAAGAACTTATGATATGAAATATGTGCATGTTAAGTAAAATTGCTATTTATTTGTGATTTTTTTTAATATAAAATAATTGGGCTCTTAGACGGTAAGATTAATTATACCAAAAATTAATTTATCAAAAGCTGTTATCTTTCATTCAATTTTTTTTTGTCAACTAATATTTATCAACCTACTGAAGTCTACTGAAATGGCTAAAATTCTAATCTACTCAATATACATGATTTGTGACCTACCGATTTCATCGAACTGAGCTTCAGCTTCAGATTCAAATGGCGAATTGTCTGTAATAAAAAATAAAATGTTTAGGCATTTTTTTTAATAGCGTAAATCGAGAGTGTTGTGGTGATGGTTGTTAACAAACATTAAAGCTAAAACTGACTGTCAATTATGATTCTTAAGTCACTTGTTATATTTTTCTAAAAAGTTGAGCAAATATTATAAAATAAATGAGGATGTTTTACGTACAAGAAGATCGATCAACATTCAGTTCTGGTAATAGTATAATTGTATACTAAGAGTTTACATTTTATAATATTTCTCTTACCGTTATTGACCTCCTCTTCCACTTCTTCACACTCGACTTCTGGAAAAATATTAATTATTTTAATTTACACTCCATTTATAAATAATTTGTATAAAACATAAAAATATGGATATTTAGTGAAAGAAAAATCCCTTGATAAACAATAATACTTTTTTTTGTACTTTTCATTTCAACGGAATAAAGACAGCACCAAACTATCAAAAAATAATATTGATTTTTTATTTAGATATCAACAAGTACTTAAAAAATTTAATTGGCTCAAAAGGAAGATTGATTAGAATAAAAGACATTGAATATAAATTCAACAAAGAGGTTATGGTGTTAATAAAAATTAAACATACCCTCTTCTCTGTCTGATAACTCCTCCGTTTCACTTATACCAGCTTCATTTTTGAAAACATCCCTCGAAACTTTCTCTAAAAAGGATAATTTCTGCTCCTCATTGCTAACCTCTTCTTTAGCGTCATTAGTCTGTGTATCATCTTGTGGGCTGGAATTTGGGGAAAAAATGTCGGAAATGTACTTAGTTGGGATTATTTTCGTTCGTAACTGACACTAACCTTTCTTCTGGGACATTGAATCTAATTGATTTCTTAGGTGTGCCCAAATCACTTTGAAAGAAACTATTTCCTGGTTTTGCAATGGCCACAGGAGTCGTCTTCCCTGACTGGAAAAAAAAAAAAAAAAAAAAAAAAAAAGCCTAGATGGTTTTAAAATTGTATGTGATTGGTGCTTAACTCTGAATTTTATCCCTTGAGATACAAGCACAAATACACATAATAATCGACAACAAATAAATGTTCCAGATGATTGTATGAAATGATTTCTATATCAACCCTTTAGCCCAAATTTAATGTTTTTTAAACCATTCTATTGTCTCTTTGGAACAGGATTTGTACATCTTAGTCTTTCAAGTTTAAATACATGCTGTCAACGCTTATATATAAAAAAAGATCAGGAATAAGGCAAATTTGAAAGAGAAAAAACACTAAATTCTTTCATCGAGCTTTCAAGACAGAAGTTGAGAATCACATAATTGCCCCATATATTTTTCCTGTGAATGATAATTAGTCAAAACACACGACCTCGAAGACACCCCCTAACTTTGATTTTTAGATTTTCACGCAAAATTACCTGTTCTTTCTTTTTATTTACCTTTATGACAATGAAATAACAATGATTTTAAACTTATTTTATTGTTAAAATTAGACTTTAGTGTGTAAACTGGATTTTTCAAAGTATACTCAGAGATTACGCATCTAAAAATCTCACATTTTACAAATATTTACCTTAAGAATTGGTGTTACGGCGTGATCGTTTGATGAATTGTGTGTTTGCTTCTTTACCAATGGAGTTCCAAACAGTTTATTCGGAATTCCAAACTGTTTATCCGGAGTTTTCTCAGTAGAGTCAGGAATTGTAACTTTTCTCCTCTTGACTTCGGCCTTTTCCCAACGGCGAACTTTTCTTTTATTTATACTTGATGTCGCCGGCAAATGTGAACTCGACAGATCTATTTCCATTGGAGAAAACTTACTAATATTGACATAGCTTGTGGACTGACTAGCAACGGGTTCTTTTTCAACTTCTGCCTCGTTTATTTCTTGCTTTGTCTTCTTTTTAAACATACTAAAACATGAGTATAAGCGTAATATAAACAACAAAAAAACATTCACAATGTATATATTATCTACGTACTTTGAAGGTGGCTGCACATTTGATGTCACAGCCTGATTTGTATTAACATTTTTCATCCGCCATGTACTTGCCATGTTTGCGATTATCAAATCTTTAATTGATTTGACGTTATGTTTGGATGATTTTATAAATACTGAGAGTGGTTTCGGTTTTAAGCCTGTATAAGGTTAATTTATAATAAATGAACAAATAGACAATCATAAATGTAACAATAGATGAGGCTTACATTGGGCTGCAGAATGTTGCAAAATGTCTTGTTTTGCTGAGTGGGCGCATAGTTTTGTTTGCTTGGCAATTGGAGGCAACACTGAAACTAGCCCTTTTACTATTCTTTCGCCTAACAAATTTGCTTTACCCTCTGAATGCCGTTTTCTTATTTCATCAGCTTCAAAATACCTGAAATGTTTTAAATTTTTAATATATTAAAATTGGACATATTAAAATGCAGAAAAAACGTTAAAAAATGGAAAGGGGAACTTTATAATCATCTAAATTTACCTTCTATGATGTATTAAATACAGTAAGTGAAACTTTACTGCTAAAGGGGTTTTGTTTGTATTGAAGAAGAGTTCACACAGACGTTCTTCTTCGGGATCCAAATTTAACTTAAATAAAAAGTTTCTCAAGTCTGCAGAATGGAGGCAACCTGTAAAAAATTAAACCAAATTCTGTAACAATCAAGCAATCAACATAGAATAAGTTCGTTATGCAGTAACTAAGTTTGGAATTGAGAGAGCGGATTGAAAATTTAGAAAGGTTGGAAATATAGGATGTCTCTTGACAAGAGGAATTCAACCTGTCAGGAGAGAACAGACTTTGTCAAAAGCAAGGAGAAAGATTGTTCTGGTTGGCAATGTATATCAAAATAAATTCACTATTTTTCGTGGTCCACTTGACCACTTCATAACATTCAATTAATTAAGGTTTTTAAATTGAGATAAAAAAGTCAGTGTGACGAGCGGGATTCGAACCCACGACCTTCGGCTTGATACGCCGCTACTCTACCACTTGAGCTATCATGACTTCGATCCCCTTGGGCACAAACTTCCAAATCTCAACCCCAACTTTTGAATTTTCCCTCCTTTTTCCAACCCGATTAAACGACATTTGAAAAATGGCAAAAAGGAGGGAAAACTCAAAAGATGGGGTTGAGATGGGAAGTTAGTGCCCGAGGGGATTGAAGTCACGATAGCTCAAGTGGTAGAGTAGCGGCGTGTCAAGCCGAAGGTCGTGGGTTCGAATCCCGCTCGTCACACTGACTTTTTTATCTCAACTTAAAAACCTTAATTAATTGTATATCAAAATGTCAAATAATACTTGCAAATAAGTTGCCCCAATAATGGATATTAATTAATATAATCATCAATGAACATGGAGACACCAAATTAGTTTATTTTATTTATTTTTATTTTTTATGGAAGAATATTGAATGAATAAAGTAATTCCCACGTATTGTACATCATTCAGTCATATTGGAGGGCAGAGTGACTTTCTTACTGCAAAAGTGACTTGAACGCATTTCATTTTAATCTTTTTGAACCTCCGTTCAGTACCAGTCTTCTAATTGGTTTTAAAGATAGCTTGCAATGATGGATTGGAGAAGAGAGAGCTGTGTCATTGGAAGTGTCTATTGTAAAAAGTATCAAGCCAAGGATGCTTCCTTGGGAGACTCCAGGTTTTTATTGGATTATAAAAGGAAAGGGATAAATAGGGTAATTATACTGGAAAATATCTTCTTCAAATTAACATTCCTACCTTCCAAAAACTGCATAAAAAGCTTCTCTTTGTGTTCACTGAATTTGTTCTGAAAGTTGTACGCATCTTTAGGAGGCCCATTGGAAATGAGAATACTCATCTCCAATCTAAAAAACAATTAAACATTTTTTATGGTTGTTTTAATAGACATGTTTGAGAACCAAAGCTCACGATAAAATTACTTTTAATTATTTAGTATATTGTATACCACATATGTACTAATTGTATATACTGTGCACTCACTTAATATCATCCAACTGAGTAAACTTATTGCCGTCATCGAGTGCCACTAACTTATAAGCCAAATTTCCTTGATTATTCGAAAGAAATGTTTGCAGTATCGCCCTGTGTGTTTCGACAGGAAGGGTATACATCAGAGAATCTTGTATAATAAGACAATTCAAACCATCCTAATATAAAATAAATAAAAGTACAGGAATACAAAAAAAGCAAGAAGAAGATTGAGAAATAGATACCTCAAACTGTAAGTGGTCTATCATCCATAAACCTTTCATTATATAATAATCTTTGTAGTTGGAAAATTCTTTCGCCTCGAGTTCTTTAAGCTTTTGAACCGAATCTCTGCAACTGAAAGTTTAATTAAATATAAATACTGCATAACCCAAAATGCATTAAAGTAGAATGTATACTTCTTTTGTTGAAGTAGATCAATAAGGTCAAGTATAAAATAGTGAAAAATGCAATGGATAACAGGCTGAGGTACACCCTGGATGAGACATGTGCGAAGAAGACTTTGAATCGAGGGAGGTGGGTATGAAGTCGTACCACCTTCCTGTTCCCATTGAGTGCCAATTGCAGGCTTATGTTGTCCAATAACATAATCCAATAAATAAAGGCTATGATCCGGCTGACCACTTTTATTCAAATTATCCATGCACCTGATTTTCGTCTCCTTTTTTCTAAAACAAAAATATTCCCAATTGGTAAAAAAATAAGAATCTACAAAACGTCGGGTTCACACCAGAGTGATAAGAAATACATGATTTTTTAGTTATGTCTGGTAAATGAAGCGATAAAACATAATAGCGACTTACAGTTTTTCATAGTTAGCTTTCAATCCCTGGTAATCATAATAAATCGACGATTCTGGTAATCCATCGCTATTTTTTTCTGGCAGTAAATTCTCTCCAGAAAAAATGCATACGTATCTCAAATACAATTGTATAACACACATTGCATTATACTTATGATCTAGATCCTCTGGAAAGGAAAGGAAAAAAATTAACCTTAAGTAAACCAGAAAAAGTCATTTCACTGCCTATTTTTTCTATAAAGACCAAAGTTAATTTGTTAAAAAATAAAATATTAAATGACAAAACAAAGTATTTACCTTTAGGGAGATAAAGTTTCAACTGCTCTAACAAACCACTGAATAATGTTTCAAATGAATTTATTGTCTTGTTTGAATAATATAAATAATCCACGTTAATGAATTCTATGCTAGTGCCAGAACCGTTGTAAAGTTGTGAACCTTAAAAACAAGATCAACACTGTAATCTATTGATTAAGTCAACAAGTATGTAAGCTTTTTTCCAACAAGCCAAACCCTTTTTAATTTCAAATTAACCCTTTTTTTAAGCATTAAAAATAACTTAGGAGATGGTATTAAATATAAGCAAGCAAGTAAAATAAACTTCCTATATATATGAGAATTATTTTAAAATGCAAAACAACCATGCACTTATAATAAATAAGGCCATATGATAATTAATAACAATTACAATTAATAAAGGTTTTTAGTTGAGATAAAAAAAGTCAATGGCACGAGCGGGATTCAAACCCATATTCTTCGGCTAGATACGCCGCTGCTCTACCACTTGAGCTATCGTGACCTCGATCCATTTGGACATCAACTTCCCATCTCAACCCCACCTTTTGAGTTTTCCCTCCTTTTTGCCATTTTTCAAATGTTGTGCAATCAATTTGATTCTCTGTGACAAATGAAATGGCCACAGAGAGCTTTGGTGATGTATACTTCATTTTAATTCATTAAATTCACTAATTTCGTGGTCACTTCACTTTACAGTGATCTCTAATTAATAGGAAAATGATTTATTTTTATATTTAATTTTATAACTTTTAATTTTAATTGTCATTAAATTTTTTACATAAGAAATTTTATGTAAGATAGCACTTTATATTTTTTCTTTCAATTAATTAACATTTTTTATGTAAGGTTTTTTTGGTTGAAATGAAAAAACCTTACATAAAAAAAATTAAATGAAAGAAGTAATTTGCTCCATAAGACGCTAAATATAATTGATTTATATTTATTTTTTTTAAATTTACAAATATACAGGAATTTTACTTCGCATGCTTATATTCATACAGTATTGAGAGTTTTCTTAATGCTTTAAAGAAAGGGTTAATTTAAAATTAAAAAAGTTTTAAATTGTAGGTTATGTTTAAATTGAAAAAGGTTATTAAAAAAATTGAAGTTAAAAACGTTTAATTTGAATGAAAAAGCATTAACATATATCCAGAACGAAATTTTTTATTTTTATGTTAAATATAACCATGATAAAACTTACATATAGAATTAGCTTTATCCCAAACACTAGAAACAGTATTCCACATCCAGTCAACGATAAACTCTAAACTGCAACCATTTGATATTTGATGGCCCTCTTTCCATACGTTAACGGCATCCGATATTATGTATGTTAAATTCAGTTCCATTAATATGGACAGTAAAAACGCTCGTTTTTGTTCCTATAATGAATGCAAGATGGTTTAAATTGTATCAAAATATTTGTCGATAGTTCAATAAATTATACCTCTGTACATTGGGTGACATTGATTGGGTCAAGGAATTTTGGAATAAGACCGGCATAAACTGCTTCCTTACACATTTTCGTAGGAAATACCAATGATGTAACTCCTGTAGATTTAATTTTCTCTGTCCAAATCGATTGCAGACTATGTTTCTTCACTTTAATAAATTCTGATTCACAAGTACAAAGAATTTCTAAAAAAAAAGTTTTAAATATTTATAACACTTACAAAATTATGTGAATTTCAAGAAGAGCAATAGAAAAATTACCATAGTCAAGAGACTGTGGATAGAAATAAACTTCAAATGAGCCTTTATTTTCCATTTTTAAAGATGAGCGGATTATGTTCACTCCGTCTACATGCTTGTCGGTAATGGTGACGACATCCAGGTATGGTGATACTGCGATACTCGACGTCGGCATTTGACTTTTATACCATTGGTCAAGATCAAAAACAATCAGATACGAACAGCTAGCATTCGATTTCTCTACCCACAATCCAGTAAAAGCCAACGTGTGAGGTTCATCAACTAAATGAAAGGCAAATTAAATTATGAACATACAACTAACTTACATTAAATATTAATAATAAATAAATGGATTTCCAAAAAGAGCAGTATTTTCATGTGACACGTAATGGTTAACTCTAAACATCATTACTGAAAGAGAAATGACAAAACAAATTATAAACTTTCTAAAAACTACAAAGTTTTTTGTTTTAAGTTCCTTTCCTCGCCAAAAATAAATTTCACTTTCAATTTTCACAGTTTTACGCACTGGCCACATTTCAGTGATTATCTTGCAAATGATCTTATTATTTACTGATTTTTTTATTCCTTCCTACGACCAGTTTAACATTCTTCCATGTCTGTAAGAAGTGCTCTTACTTTTCTATCTTTCTCCAGTCAACAATAATAAAAAATTTAATGTTATTCCCTGCCCGTAGAGAAATTAACAAAAACTATTGGAAAACCAGAACTCTTTTTGGAAATTTTCAGAAAAAAAAAAGCCGTATGGGTACCTTTACAATAAGGCCTTGGATGTGAATTTGCAATTTTTCTAGGCAGAGATGTGCAAGATACCACCTTACTATTTCCTGCGTCTTTAACAATTAGGTCCGGGAAGAACTCAAACGACATAGTGCAACTCCTGAAGCCCTGGAATTATTCATTGTTATAAATTTTTCTGTTGATTATTTTAATTATTTCTGTACTACCTTGTAATATCTTCCATAGTTTGGGTCTTCTTCTTTGGTAACAAATGAAAGGTTATACAAAGACATAAATGGAATATTTCCATTCACTGTCTGATAAGTTACCCAAAGATAAAGCATATGTTTTGGATCATCGCAAGGTTCAAGTTGAACAAAACCATAAATTGGGTATTCACATTCTGCTGTAGAATAACTAAAAAAGAGAGGTGCAAAATTTTACCAAATTAAATAAATTTAATAATGTCATAATCGCTATTAGTGGCCAGGTACGCTTGGTTTAACAGATGGTTAATTTTTTTTAAAATGATGTTAACAGAATCTCAAGCAATTGGTTAATAAATTTAAAAACCAATTTATTTTTAATTAAGTCATGAACTATGTTCAATTTCATAAATAAAACAATGGTTTGAGAATAAATTCATTCTATTGGATTGTCTGGAAAATAATGCACATTTATGGTTATAATGTAAAAACAATAATTATAAATATATTTAAAATGTATTAATAAATAAATTATTAATAATAAATAATTATTTGTAATTTATAAATAAATCAATTATGATTATTTGGAGATCGTGAGGTGTGGTCTGGTGTGACGTAGGTTTTAGAAAAACATTTTCTTTATCATGTCAACTTTTGATCTTCATTGAGATCATCTTCAGGGCCTGGGATTTATAAACATTGTTTAAATTATACAAATATATGTAGGATGTGGAAAAAAAGTGAATTTATACAATGCTAGAAATTTTAGATTCAATCAAAGTATTTGTACTAGCTCAAAGTGTTTGTTTTCTGTGTAGATGTATCATTATTGTGTGTCGTCCGATTTAGAAGCATTTTTGTTTGTAAGAGGATTAAAAAGTGTTGACATCCGTACAAAAAATAATATATAAAATGTAAAGAGTTTATTCCACAGAGAGTTAATACAAAGAAAACATGATAACCTGCATTATTTTTCAGACAACCCGATATCGTTTCAACAACCGATCTTTTTGAACCAATTTGAAATTAATGCATATCTTAATTAGTCTCATTCGAATTGTGTAACTTAAAACATAGAATTACAAGATACCCAGCAGCTTTACTTACAGTAATCTGAAGTCGTGCATACTTCGCATTTCCCAGGAACCAGTTCCAAAGCCGATGAATAAACATGAAGTCTCCTTGGAAAAGTAAAGAGCTGAAACCCCTTGGTATTCCTCTTTCCCTTCTAAAACACAATACGCAAAAATCAGTACATTATTGATTTTATTAATATTGACCTAAAATTTTAGAAGAGCATTTAAGCATATAACCATTCAAGATATAAAATTTTGATACTTTGTTGTTCACTAATTTAAACATGCTTGACTTGTGTTGGCTTTGATATGAAGGAAGAAGAATGTAAGAAAATTCAAAAGCAACAAATCTCATCACAATAAACATATCATACATTAAAAGCCTTTTTTAATAAATAACAACCAATAAGTTGACTGATTGTTGGTCAGAGAAGGAGCTTGAAAAAGCTGTGGACATCTTTATGTAAATTGAATTAAATAATTAGATGAAAGATTAAATTGCTAACAGACTTGATTAGTGGCAAAAAGTTGCAAAATAAACATAGTTGTGAGAGAAATTTGTTCTCTTTAAAATTAATAATTTAATAATACTTAATAATAATAATTATAATTAAAATAAAATAAAATTGTAATTTATAACTTCAATCCTATCATGATTTTATAAAGACTTTAAAGACTTTTTTTTACGAGGGTTCGCAACAGCAGAGGTTATATCAACCTCGGAGTACTGGTGTTTTTGAAAAAAAGCTCATTTGTAAGTATGTCGGGTTCAAATCCAGCAGCCTTGCATTCGAACCCAGGACCTTTACCTTACACTGATGAGCGCCGTGTCAATGCCTAAACCGTTGCGGCCACTGACGCCCCTAATTATTGTTGTTATATATATGTTATATATAATTATATAAAGTGACTGGGTCCCTATTTAGTATGTAATTGACAAAATCTTACCTATCATCAACACAGCAAGACTATTTTTACTGTGAATGCACAAATCAAAATTGTTTTTAACTTCCATTTTATTGAACGGTTCATCAATATAATGGAGGTCGGCAATTTCACATTCTGGCGGAAAAGGCTGTGACTCGCCTGAAATAAATAAAAAGTTTTATAATGAAATTTTTCTATTTTAAAACATGTAGTGGATATAATTCTGTTCTGTAAGTATACTTTACCTTTTAAAAATAAATCCCTTCTTAAATCCATCAAAATCAAACTACCGTCAACACACCCGACGGCCAAGATTCCCAGCATTACTTCTGAAAGTAAGCCCGGAAACGGGCTTACCTCTGATACTCCATCATCAATGATAGAAACACAACTGACCTAAAACACACAAAAAAAAATAATAAAAATATGTGTTTGACTCCAAAAGTTGACCTCAATTTAATGAGATATTTCTCTTAACCTAATTTGTTTAAAAATTAATTTCTTATACTTTACTTTCTTATTTCATATTTAATTATGTATAAACAAATAACATAAAATGGAACATTTTTTCACTAGAAACTTTCTGCAGTAAGAAAAAACAATCCTCTTTCATATATCCCCGTAAGTAATAGGTAAAAATTAAAAGAAATGCAAAGAATGGTCTATTAGAAGCAAATTATTTTATTGCAGAGTATTTGATTATATCAACAATCATTTGATAAAAGGCATTTTTAACATAAATATAAAGAAATGTAATAAATTTGTAGCTTAATTCAAAATTGGTCCATACCACTATGTAAAAAATGGTACATTTAAATTAAAATAAAGCAATTTTCGTTTATGAGATGTCCCTGTGAACCTACAATTTTGGTCTGGCTATCCTCACCGGGTAGGTCTGTCAAAGGTGTTTCGACATTTTACCATCTATGAAGATAAAACAACTGACAGTGAGTAGAAAAGATAAATGGTGTAGTGAGTGTGTCGTTCAATCTTTTGTACACAGAGTAAGTTGTTTTCAACAATCCGGATTTCGAGCCTACAGCTCATCATCAGGTTGAAGGAGCTCTACAACCATGTCTATCGACATGAATTGGAAGACTGAAACCACCGGTGACCCGGCCATCGCGACATTCAAATGAGAAGCTGGTTTTTAATGCCGTTCAATTATCACATGTGAAAATCGGGAATTATAACACAATTAAATATTATATTAATAAATTCTGTAAGAAATTAATTATAAATTAGTAATCAATTTTTTAAATTTATATATATTTATTTATTTGTTAAATTTATTTATCTATTTATTTTTATATTATTTTCATTATTTTTTAATTATTTATTTTTGTTATTACTTATTTATTTTTATTAATTAATGAAAGATAGCAATTAAAATGATACCTTAATAATGATTAGTAAATTAATGACAATATTAATAAAAATTAATTAATTAATTTGATTATTTTGTACGTCTAATATTATACTTACTTAAAAGTATATACAGTACATATTTAAAATATCTCCATGTCCAATTTTACATTTTTTAATTTCAAATTTCTCAAATGAATCTAGTTTGTTTCTAATAAATAAAATAAATCTAGTTGTTGAAACTATTTAACACTATTGTATTTAAATTTAAATTGAATTTAATTTAAAAAATTAAATTTTAATTTACATAGTTTCAACAAAGGGAGGGAACTAGATTGGTTTGAGAAATTTGAAATTAAAAAATGTAAAATTGAACATGGAGATAAATGCATTAATAATATGGTAGATTTTGATCCTATTTTATATATGTCAATATTTAATTGTTATAATTCCCAATTTTTGCACATGATAATTGAGCGGCATTAAAAACCAGCTTCTCATTTGAACGTCGCAATGGCCAGGGGACGGGGTTTCAGTCTTGCATCCTTGCTCCTTCAACCTGATGATGAGCTGTAGGCTGGAAACCCGGATTGTTGAAAACAACTTACGATGAGTAAGAACTATCTTTTTAAAAAGACTGACAGTGAATTAGGTCTGGGATAGGACGGTGACCCAGTAAGGACAGGTAGACCAGAATGATTGATAATGATCAAATTAAATTATTTCTTTTGTTAAACTTTTCATAGAAATAATACAGGTGGGGTGAATGTGTCAATTCGCTTTTTGTAGCTGATGGTTAGAACTCGCAATTTACAAAAAGGAAACTTTTCAGATGAAAAATTTGTTTTATCCATTTTCTTGTTAACACTTTCGTTGCGGGTGTCATTCCAAAATGACACGGTCTCCTTTAAAAATCCTGTATTTTGAGAGTTGTGTTAAATAAAATCATTGCCGTAACGAATGTGTTAACTATCATATGGCAAAATTGTTCCAAAACTTCATCTTAACATCTTTATACTTCAAATTAAATTTACCTGACGTCCGATATTAACAGTTCTTCTTATCATGCTACTGAGAGGGTTATAAACGGATACAAAGCCTTCCTTGATGGAATTTGTACCAATAATCATGAATGGTAAATCAAAATCAGGAACTGAATACTGTTCAACACACGTAATCTGGAAAAAAAAGTTCAAGAATTGTACAAAGAATATATCGTGTTATTGAATCACGCTTATAAAACACTTACATATTGATGAAGTGCTGGATTATCCTCATCTCCAAAAGTGTGGTAAGACACGTACGACCCAGTGTCCTTTTCCATTATGTAAATGGTCGATCCAGATGCCACCCAAACATAATCCTCATCTGCAAAATACATTTTCAAATTTTAACCATTTATTTTAATTTTTCAAAGAAAGGCCGTATAATTTGACTCACCTAATAAGAGTGATGATATAATATCATGTTTTGTAGTTTCTCCACTAGTTTCCATTTTCCTTTTGACAGCTAGGTCAAAAGGTATGGAAGTGGTGATAACAGGACTTTTTCTAAACATGTTTTATTTGTCCTCTAAATCTATATCTTTTATACAAACCATTCCTAAAGAACCTGCAAAATAAACAAGATGCAATGAGCGAACTAGAAAAAAAATTAAAAAACAAGAAAAACCAATAGATTATTTTTCCAATTTTTTTTCATATAAAAAAATTCCCTAAGAGCACATTTACACTGCTTGCGATGTGATATCGGCCGACTAGAAGCTGAAAAAACAAAGAAAGGAAAAGAAGCTGTCACTGACTTTGCATAGATTAGCATGCATGTATTTACACTACGAGCGGAGCGAAGCAATTCAGAGCCATCTGGACAAGATTGTTTTACTTTTTTTCTAAAAAAATTATACACACACCTATCTAATCGCACATTCTCTATGATTATAAAGAAATAAATATTAAATAATATTTTTTAAAAAACACTGATGGACAAATTTAATGCACCATTCAATTTATTTAGTTTAAAAATAAATCCATTATCTTTCTATGTTAGGTACAGGTAATTAGGAGCTATTGTAGTCAAAATAAATAGTAAGTAATGCTTTGTTTACTTTTGTACTGATGAATCCCATTTGTACAAAAAGTAACATTATACCCTTCCATTCTGCAATGCCTAAATATCGCTTTCAGTTAATCTTTCTACTTCGTTGATTTCATTTAATATTATTATTCTTCGTAAACCTTTTTCAATGTCTCCATTCAGGCATTTGAGTGAGCAAGACAGTGTCACGGTCATAACATGATTAGAAAAAGGCAAAGTCACCAGGAGACTGAATGTAAATCACTCTACAACAGGAAAGGTTCTTCGGCGCTTCAGAGAAACAGGGCTCCACACTAGAAGGCCAGGAGAGGATTAAACTAGGTCTACGGATGAGAGAGAGAGAGGGGGGAGAGAGAGACAGACGACAGATTCACTCGTCGTCAGGCTCTACAAAACCGCAGCATTATGGGAAATAAGAAAAGAAATTTGATAAGACAAGTCCAAAATATTTTGATTTCCGCCAGGACTGTAAGAAGTATGCTCGATGAAAATAATCTCAGGGCTCATCACCCGTCTAATGCACCTTGTCTTACCACAGCTCAGAAAATGGCCTGGCTTCAATTCCACGGGAACATGTGAATTGGACATTGGAAGTTTGGGGACAAGTTCTTTTTACAGACAAAGAGAAAGTTGACCACAAATCTTCAGATGGGCGTAATTTCAAATGGAGCCGCTCAGGAGAAAGGTACGCCCCATGCTGTATGTTCCTCAGGTGGTATTCCAAGGCGAGTCATTGATGTTCTAGGGTGGCATTTCATTGGACAGTTGTTGTGCGAGGAAGATCTCTAACTTCACAGAGGTACAAGACATAATCAAATAACATGTAGTGCCATTTACCCGCCACATTGGTGAGAGATTCTTGCTAAAACAGGATAGTGCCGGGCCCCATAGAGCATGTACTGTGGATGACTACCTGATTGAAGTTGGAATTCAATGCTTGGTGTGGCCAGCCCGAAGACCAGATTTGAACCCAAACACATTTAGGACCAACTTAATTGATGAGTATGATGGCGAAACCTAGGTCCTAACACCCTATTAGTGTTGGGAAACGGTTGTTCTTGATGAATAGGAAAAAATTCCTCAGTATTTTATCAAAAATTTTCCCCACAGAATGCAAAGGGGTTTAACAAAAGTGATTCAAGCCAGAGGTGAAAATACTCAGTATTAAGATGGACAAAAAAAAGTGTTTTTTAAAGTTTTGAATTTAATTTTTTTCTCTTTCACTTTTACTTTCACAACCAAACCTATTTTTGGTGCGCAAAATTGGTTTACAGTTTTTAACCTACTCAACAGCACATTGTTACTGTAATAAATAATACTAGGGCCTAGTTTGGAACAATGCAGAATATCCTTCATTAAATTGGTGGAGTTTTGGGAACCTCAGCGACTGAGTGGTTAGGGTCAAGCTAGCAGGTTCTGAGCTCAAATCTCAGCATAGCCAATGGCTTTTTAATTAAAAATAATGTGAAAAACCTAGTGTAAAGTGGATCTGGCCCATCGTTCATAACACCCAGTGTGTGGTGTCAAGCCCGGTAAGTCGGATGCAAAATACCCTCAACATAACTGATTAATGATGTGGATAAATGTGTGGTGTTTAGAGACCGACAGCCAATGATTATTCGGAGATCGTGAGGTGCGGTCTGGTGTGACGTAGGTTTTAGAAAAACATTTTCTTTATCATGCCAACGTTGAACTGAAAAACAAAACTATCTTCTTATGATAATATGTAGTCAAATGGAAATAAACAAATAAATAAAAGGGCCATTAGATACTAGGGCATGAGTGGATTAAAGCTGAAAAAAGCTAACAATCTAGCAAACGTTCTCAAGTTGGACCGGAATCGCCCCAAAGCATGCTAAAAGAAATGGTTGGATGAATTAACCGAGTGCAAAACAATCAAAGACATTCCTCAACATCTCAACCAGGAAAACTGAAATCTACCTCCCTCTCTTCTATGGGCAAGAATTAAAGAAAATAATACGACTTTATGGCCATTGCCCATTTAATTACCACTTCAAGAAAAAATAGGAAAACTCAGTCAGAAAGCAACCGATTCAGTCATGAAGAAGCAGACATTGCAGCATATCCTACGTGGCTCAAAGCTTCGACCCGGAAACATTACACTCTCTTCGGAAATGTGTAATCGACACCTAGAGAAATACGTGGAGAGCCCTTTTCGAGGCTTGCAAATGAACAAGGGTCAATTCCACATCTTTTAGATCGCAGTGGAATAAAGGGAGATTTTAGTCCACAGGAACACTGATGAAACAAAATAGCGGGTAGAGAAGTAGAGACATCAGAACACCTATCAGTATGTGAATAAACAATACGACATCACCACTTTTCCAAAAATTTTAAAAGAGAACCTTTTCAAGATAATAATTAAGGATCGAGTTGCGAATATTATTAGGTTGCGATGTTGGAGAGGTGTAAATTATTCAATCACCCAGTGTTTTCGTGGTAGGCACATGAAATCCAAAAGGTTAAATTTTGATCAAACCGGTTGAACAGAAGGTCTGAGACCTCTGTCGGATTCAACTGTCGAGTTTCTTCTTGGATCATTTTTTAAGAGAGTTGTCATTAAGTTTATTACATGGATATCAATTGAAAATTACCCCTTTTCTATGTGAAATGTCTTATTAATGGGAAATAAGACACGAGTTCAGAACAATTTTTTTTTTATAAAGAAATACTTTTAACAGTTTTGGAAACCTTTAAAGTTTTTTCAGGATGTTTGAAATTTGAAATTATCGTTAAAATCGACCAAATTTTTAAGAAAATAGCTGGAAAAGTACACAATTGAAATCGATCCGTTATTAAAATACGACGTTGTCACAAGCAGTCGACAGCTTAAAAAAAAACATAATTAGACAGATATGAAAGCTTAAAGAGAGGATTGCTGCATAAATAATCAAAACTAATTTGTAACATAGGTCCAGTTGGAAATTCTGAAATCAAAATACTGGCATTATATGAATAACTTACGTTTTGATTTGATAATAAAGACTGGGAACGAAACAGTTTCGACGAGTGGAGTCCCTAATTTCGAAAAATCTAAACCTCCGTCTGAAAAAAAAAAGAAGATTCACTCACGAACCGGCTGAGACTAAACAACAGACGATCGTGCGACGGTTCGCGGACTGTTCAAACTGGAAAGAAAACAATGGGGAGGTTTCGCCGCCGCTGGATTCCCGGTATTGCGCCCACCGCCTCGGTTAGAAGCTATGTGCTGACGCAACAACGGCTAAAACGGTTAACTGAAATTTTTATTTTTACATTTATATTTATTATTATTAATTTTTAGAACAAACTAACCCCCCTAACATCCAAATCTTAACTATATCCCTTCTGAGTGCTACAAAGCTCTGATTCCAAACATTCATTCATAAACTAATCTATCCTATTGCCATCCAAAGCTTTAATTTATCCTTTTAATTATTCTTAATTTGGAAAGCCAAATGTCCCATTTTAAATTATAAAATGTATTCCTATTCTTTAATTTAAACATTTCCCATAGGCTTGTATGGCTAATAATATTATTGGAGTCAGCATGAGTATAGGCTCATCGTTATCCTGTTATTCTTCTATTCAAATATGATAAATAAACTAATGCTACTTAACAATAATAAGAAACAAAAACACAGTAACACTTTTTTTTTGGGGGGGGGGTCTATCTCTCTTATTTAAATTGTGATTTTGGGCATTGTAGTTTATTACCCTGCAATCTGTATATCCTTCTATTTCATTTTGTTGTGGAGGATGTGTCATTATGGTGTGTGTAGTGAGTAAAAATACTTTGATTGAATCTAAAATTTCTAGAATTGTATCAATTGATTTTTTTCCACATCCTACATATATTTGTATAATTTAAACACTGTTTATAAATCCCAGGCCCTGAAAATAATCCCAATAAAGATCGAAATGTTGGCTCAATAAAGAAAACATTTTTCTAAAACCTACGTCACACCAGACTGCATCTTACGATCTCCAAATAATCATTAACTAACGGTCACTAAACACCACACAGTTTTGTACAATGTCAATGATGAATTGGGATTATGAAAATTACGATTGATTCTTATAAGAAAACCCAGAATTTTAAGAGCTTTTTTTATTAACACTTGCTCCTTAAATTCCAACTTTCTATCCTTCTATCTTCTATCTGCGTTTTAAAAGGACTTTTTAAAATGTCAACTAAAATGATTCAGTCATTATTCAAATTATTTGTACAGTCAAAGTGAAAAAGGGAAGATTCAACTGTAGCTTTTATAACAAATACTAGTTAGCATATTGCAATTTGCTCTGTGTTAGGAAGTTTGTGGAAAGAAATCTTTTCCTTTGTCAATTAGTTTAATTTTTTAGTGGATGAGAAAAAAAAGATTGTGGTCTTAATCATGCTTATCACCATTTTTTGAAATCTTGGACTATGTAACAATTCATCTTTTCCTAATTTTAAATTCAGTTTGGTAAAACTCATTTTCAAATCTTACAGTCCTATTTGTGTGGATACCAGGATTTTGTGGCATTCGTGGTATGCGGTGGTCATGGAAGGGATGTGGATAAATCGAGTCTCTGAGGAAAACTTTCTCATTCATATCAAGAGAACAATTTTGGGAAAAGTGGGAATAAAAGATTGGTGTGAAATGAACCTAAACAAGCTGAGACAAATTAAGGAAGATGTAAAACAATAGTCCACCGCCACTCGAACCTCCCTTAAGGAAGAAACAGTCCTGTCTCAGAATAGGCCATTGCAGACTCACTGATTGTTTTCTCATGGCAAGAGAACCTCCACCAATCTGCCAAGGTTTTCAGGAACTGCTAACAGACACATTCTGACTGCCTATACTTGATTTGAGCTAGAAAGGAGTGCATCTGATATTTTGGATAGTTTGGGACAGATCTGGCCAAATAATGGACCCAGAGTAGAAAATCTATTCAATTTCTTGAGGATGACTGGTAAGCTCTCTAAAATTTAGAAGACAAGGCATGGGGTGGAGGCTGAGACCGTCGGCGGGCTTGGTGTGGTTGGGTGGAGGGGTGCCAGACGGTGCACCTGGGCTGTGATGAAGCCCCAGGTAGGCCTTGACGGATGTAGAGATGGCACATCTTTTATCTGACACCACGGTGGTTTTTTGACTTATTGCTTCCAAAATAAAAAAGCAAAAGTAGTGAGATAGAATAACTGACGGGCCCCCCTTCTCATGCTGGCTGGCGGCTTCTTTTCAAGGCAGGTTATGACCCTTAGTGGTTCTTTGCCTTTATTAATAATAATTTTAAAAAATCAGATGATATAAACTATAGACTCAAATGCAGCTGGCATATCACTGAAAGAAGAGAAATACCAAAAGAAGAACTTTTTAAAAGTTGCAATAATGATGAATTTGGATAAAATACTCATTAATGATATCAACATTTACCACATTAATGTTTTAATATCCAATAGGTGTAGTTGACGTACTAAAAAAGAAATTCTTGATTTTTTTTTTAATTTACTTCTTACTTTTATAATAATTGTATATATTGTATTTATAATAACTAATATTGTAAATTTCCTTCTGTGGTTTGTGGTCTGACAGACCTGTAATTTGGCCATTACTGATCATTTTTGTCTGTCCCTCGCAGGGTTGGTCTATAAGATGTGTTTAAGCATTTCGACATCATCAGTGTGCCTGTGTATTTGTGAAAAATGATTTATAATGGCCAAATTAGAAATAACTAACATGCCTGCTAAAATTAAAATTTTCTCTTTAGCAGGAAAGTTATAAGAGGGTAAAATGTATTAATTTTGTCTGTACATTACACACACAACATGCAAGAAAAAACATGAATGACTGAATGACGTATTTATATTTAAGTCAATTTATTATGAGTAGTGTTGACAGTTCATTGTCCTATCCCCAGTGTTCAATTGTAGTGGTTAGCAACAAATTATGGCGCATTGTTTATTCAGACTTTAAGGACATCTTGTACACACAATAAACTACATTTCAGGACAGAAAATTAATGAGAACAATAGTAGGTAGTTTTTCTATCAACAATACAATAATAACATTATGGTTTAATTCTTCCTTATTTTAAGTAAATGGGCGGCCCTTGTATTCTTGGGTGGATGTCAGTTGAGCACACTCAATTATTGCATTCTTTTATAAATGATCAAATATTAACAAGTCTGCTTCTGTTTATGCTGCCAAGTATGAACAGTAGTGTGTTAATTTTTCAGTGTGGTAATATCATAATCATTATTTAGATGCGAATGATATCAGAATATTTTTACATAATTTTTGTCCTTTATAACACCAATGTCTTTTTTTCCATCCACATTATATTAAAAAACACCAATAATGTTGTGCACGTTCTGTTTTTATCATGTGTTTAACTTTATCTTGTATACAGGTAACAACGTGAACATGAATCCTTCATGCTTGTTCTGGCAGGTGCTTGTTTTAATAACGCTTGAATGTTGTTTTTAAAAAATTCTTCATCGTGCTGAATATCCCAGTATGCTGGGGTTCGTTCAATTTCATAACCCTTTCTTGCTTTCTTTCAGCCATATCGACACGCTTGCATGGTTCAAGGGGCAAGAAGGACTTTCTCATCTGTAACGATGTTCTCGGAAACATTTGTGGGACGAGATCCTCCTGTGTCAACCTCCTTCGTATTTTCCTTTGTCTGATCTGTTCTATTTCTTTTTTCATGACAACTTTTTGTGTAAAACTCAGGGGAACTTTAGGCCGCTGTTGTGGTAACGCTTTCGCAGCTATAGTGCTTCTTTGCCATGCTTTCATGATAGAAGGATCGGGAAAACCTTTCTTTTTCGGTTTGAGAGATATTGCATGCGGAGTAACTGTAAATCTCTCGTCCAACTGCTTTTGGGGCTTTCCAAAGTCAGGAATTTTATTCGGGGGTATAAACCTATCTCTCATTGCTTTACTGGTTTGGATACTTCCCCTTATATTGACTTTTTTCCCATAAGCGTGAGTGGACGTGTTTAATTGGCGGATGTGCTTGAAATAGAACGAATTCCTCTTGTATATAAGACTGTGTCCAAATTTATTCCTGACGTTTGATGTACTGCCCAAAATATGTCTGTACGGGTTATTTGGGCCAACTAAATCATACTTGACATTGGACTGTATTCTAGGCGATGTGGACAACATGTAATTTTTAATTTTTGAAATGAATTCCATAGAGGTCTTTAAGGCACGGGATGGATTTACACATTTTGTCGGATCAAGCAGTGTTTTCTTTGATTCATTTATGTTTCTTGTGTGCTGTTTATTTATGTAGCTCATGGTTTCACTGAAACAAAAGATTATTATTAATTATAATTGTCATGTTGTAAACTTAATAATAGTAACAGCTAAAATATACGTATACACCTTATTAAGCAAAAATAAATGGAATGTTTTTTATATTATAACTGTGAAATAATTAAACAAAAAGTCATGGTTTTGGCAATGATAAATTTATTTGTCAAGTTTCCATTTGTTTATATAGAAAATACCAGCCCATAGAAAACAAACTAAAGTGAATGATTTAATTGATTGTAACTTTCAGTTATTTAGAATTATTATAATAAGGATAATAATTGTCGTGAAATTCTTAACCTCATAAAGAGACTAGTTCACATAGACTATTCTTAATGTCTAAGGACCCCACCTTACCATGTTTCCAATTTTGACCACACATTCGCCAAAATTAACCTAATTTCTAGCACAATATCTCTAGATTTTTAAGTTTAGATAACCTCAATGCATCTGAGATTGTTATTTCGTGCTACACAAAACACAAAATCTCAATAATACCGTATGGTTACTTTTTGTTCATACACACTAAATATCCTAATAACGTCAGAAATATATTGAATGGTCATTCACTGTACCCACCTGTATCACTTAAATTGTTGGAAACATAATGAACATTTTATAATATTATTATTTGGAAGTCGTGAGATGCAGTCTGGTGTACCACGACCTTCAAATAATCATTAAGTAACGGTCGCTAAACACCACACATTTTACAATATTCACTATTCCACAATTCCAGAGCTGTTTTCAAATAATTCCAGATCTCTGCATACTGCAAATTAAAAAATTACATTTGAGGGCAAAATTATTTGGTGAGATTTCCTCCTCTGGTTGCACGGTCATGAACCTGTAATTTGATCCTTCCATCTAGGCATTTTACCTCTTTAGTATATTAGTAAGAACACACAAACAAAATTATAAGATTGATCAAGTTATAACTTATATCTTTATTTTTCAGGGTAGATTTTTAACAAATGATAAATTAACTCTCTCTGCTCATGTTCATGAGCCCCTAAACTTCAAACATCTCATGCCCAAAAGACACGCCAAAGATGGCGAAATGCCGAAACATGTCGAGCAGACCAAACCAGCATGGATAGGCAGACCAAGATGGCCAATGATAAGTATCAAATTACAAAATTATTTTATTGAAATATTAGACCGGTCGCAATAAAGGTTTATTTACCAATTAAATCTTCCTTATAACCAATCAAACTACCAACATTTCTTCTTATACGAGGCATTAAAGTCAATAATCACAACAGAATAAGAGCGGTAAAAATTCTCTGTCACACAATCCAGGAAGGATGCAAATTTAAAGAAAACCAAACAGCATGTTTGATAATGTCAAACACGAATTATCTTCTATATTCCAAAACAAAAATTGAAAAGAAATGAAAAAGCAGCCTTGCACATATAAGAGCTATTTTCTCCAGCAATACCTGGTTATTATAAAGACAAACAAATAAGATCCCACTCTGACCACCGAATGCTGGAGTTTCGTTGAAATGTTAAAAGCTAGGGTTATTGGGAGCAGGTTTCTTGATGTCATTATGCAATGCAACCAATATTGGTCAATTGTGCAACCCCATCATTATCTAAAGCTATTTATTTAGCTTGTGGCATTTTAACGGACCCAACACTTTTCTTAAATGCTATCATGTGTAGCATTCAAACCATGGCTTTCTCTCCCAGGAGTAGGACATCTTGCATAGTACTTCTCACCAACAGAGAACATGTTATGTCTGTTCTTCCTGGCAATATCTGCTAATATTTGCTTCCGGCTGTTGGCTGGGTCCAATCAGCAGTCTTACTATCATTCTGGTCCTAATCTAGTTCTGTTGGTATTTCAACGAACTTTGCATGCCTCTGTGCTTTGATATGCTACTAACTCTTTGTTAAATTGATCTGTGTTTTTTGTAATTTGGTATGCTTCAAAAGGATTGTGGGCCTGATGGAACTTTCCTTTGCCAGCGTATTGGCTTCCTCATTGCCCTGGTGCCCAAACAAGGGTGATTTCATTAATTTCACCAATGTCTGCCAAGTCTTTAATGCAATCCCAGACAGCTCTGAATTTTACTGATTAGGTAACTGCCTTCGTCACCTAACTGTCCGAATAAATATTCTTTTGTTGGAATCACCCAACATTTTAATCTCCCTGGCAAAGTGTTCAATAGCCACAGTCTCCGCCTGAAATACAGCGGCATATTGCCCAAGGTTTAATTTCTGTAAACACCAGTAATGACCCACTGTTGGAGCCATTTGGGTACGAGATATTGCCAGTATTTACTGAAATTCCTTCTCTCGTCTGCCCTATTTAGTACTTTAATTTGAAATTTCTTATCAAAACATTGAGATCATGGTGTTGACGTGTATTCTTGGTACTTGTTCTGCCTGAGGAACTCCCCTGAAGAAGGAACCTTCTTTGAATTTTGTCTCTAGGTTCTTGCTGAAAAGGTCCCACAGAAAACTAAAAGGCAAATTAACGGCTACATAAAAATGCATTAAATAAAACATTTCATGTAAATTCAACAGCGGGTCGTAGAAAACCTAGTTTCCCTGATTTATAACAAGACTCTTGAGGAAAAAACACTGCTAGTACTACAGAAAAAAAAAGTTATTCAAATTTAAAAACAAAACTTACCACGTAAAGTTGGTACAATATAATTTTGACACAAAAATTTAATGATAATGCCAAAATTTAATTACTATGGCAACTGTTTATGAAAAGACTAAATATTTGATGGTTTTCATTTGATCACATGTTACTATTATTAAGAAAATGTTTTGTTTAGCTAATTTGTTTCATAATTTTCATATTAATGAATCTAGGCTTATCTGGTAAACATGCATGTTCTTACAGTTATAAAAATGGATTAGGATTATTAAAAACAGTAGAAAATCACTTTAATATGCACAATGAGCAAAAATTATTCAACTTTGTCTTTACAGGTGTAAATAAAATTACAGGGCAGTTCAAGAACCTTTCAAGAAGGAAGGTATATGATAATTGAACATTTACAGCACTTTATTTAGAAATCGTGAGATGCAGTCTGGTCTCACGATTTCTAAATAAATATCGATTAACGGTCACTAATCACCACACATTTACAGCACTGCCAGTTGTGTGGTAAATTAGATATAGTAATTAATATAGAGAAAATACTTGAGTGTACCAGTTCTCTTTTGTTGGTCTAACAAATAAATTATTATGTTTTAAATAATTTTTTATTTATTTAGCAATTCCCTCTCATAGAGGATACTTTAATTTTACTGAATGTTCTGTTGTCTCTATCTCCTCTAGACATTTTTTGTCTCCAAGTGGTATTTTATATTCCACGTTCCGTATAGTGTCCGAGATGATAGCTCAAGTGGTCGAGCAGCGGCGTATTTAGCCGAAGGTCGTGGGTTCGAATCCCGCTCGGACAATGACTTTTTTAACTCAATCAATACTTACATAAAGATTAATTAATTGAATAATGATAATAATATATTCTTTAAAATATTATTTATAATCGAATGATGAAACCACATTACAAAAGAAAAACAAAAAGAGATAAAAGGAAATGGGAAGAAATTGAGATGATTGATGTAGTTAGTAAAACTCAGATACTATGGAGTATGGACTTGAAACAAGCCAGCGAGGAAGCTGAACGTGCTTCCGGGGGGAAGCAAATTCCATAGTTTTGACCCTGCAATTCTGAAGGATAAGGCTAAAGTGTTAAAAGAGAGAGGCTTGGGATATGATTGGTGTGTTTGGATGAAGAATTGGGGGAAAAAAGTTGATAGATATTGAGGACATTTATTTGATTTAATTTAAAATGTGTATATTAAAACCCTTAAGTTTATAAATGCTTAGAATGTTAAGATTGCTGAAGAAATTAATATAGGAAGAAATATCATCTCGTTTTTAAGATCATAACAGTGTCTAACGCAGGAATTATAAGCAATTTAAAGATGATGAGCAAATTGAGAGTCTAAAGAAAATGAAAAAATAGCACTATAATAAGACAATAAAGGAATTATTAGAGATTTAATAAGGAGAATTCTAGTTTTCTGCGGAGTGAAAAAACTAAGGCGTCGAAGAGAATAGAGGCTTGAACATCTTTTTAATAAATAAACACACATGGTCATGCCATGTAAGGTTGGAGTTAAAAATAATGGCGAGATTTTTAACTTTAGGACAAAAATTCATAGAACATTATTTAGAAACATGGAAAAGAGTAAAGGTCCAAGAATAGAGCCTTGCAATACACTAGCTGAAATTGAGCGAGAAGAAGAGATAGAATTAGAAGCTTTTTACTCTCTGAGTTCTGTCAGAGAGATAGATGAGATTAGTAGCAGTAGAAAAAAACCCAAAAAGACGCGTCAGTTTCCAAATAAACAAATTATGATTTATGGAGCCAAATGCATTAGAAAAATCTAGTAGAACAATAATAGTACGCTTATTTAATCAATGCCTAGGTAAATATCATCTGAGATTTTGAGAAGGGCTGTCTCACAACTGACATTTTTGAAAGTCAGATTGAACAAACTTGAGGTTATGGTTTTTAACGACGTTCTGTTGAGTAGGATTTTTTCTTTCTCCTATTGGAATGTTTTTTCAAGTAGTTTTGCTTTTAGCTTGGCATATTTTCCCATTATTTGTTTTATTCTCTAGTTACCCAGCATTCTAGTTCGTTTTTAATGTGCTTTTTGTATTTGCCACAAAAAATATATATAGGCCTTTGAAACAATAGTCTCTTTTTAGCTAGTATATCTGCCGCTTTGTTACCCGAAATTCCCTCATTGTAAGTCCTAGTTTTTAGGGTATCTAGGCGGTTCCAAACCAGTTTTGGGTTGCTCTTGTAGGCTCGTAGAGCCGTTAGCTGCCTGGCTATCTGATAGTATTATTATTTTGTGTATTATTTAAATAATTAGTATTACTTTTGTTGTATCCTGGAAATGTTTGTTATTTATGTCATGTGCACATGTTTCTACGGCTAGTAATTTGGCTTGAAAGATGGTTGTGGCCGGTTTGCAGAGAATTAAATGTGCAAAGAAAGAACTTTGACACCTTGCATGACCTATGAGCTGGGACACAGATCGGTAATCAAACACCTAAGGGCCATAAACGGTAGAATAAATATTAACAAGAACGGAAGAGTCAGACACTTTGATCCCCAAGTAATGTCGAGTAGTCAGACTGGAACGAATGAGATTAATTGCATCATTATTTCTCGGCTTGAATGAAAAAACAGTTCACATTTGTATCAATGTACTGAGTGAATGTAATTTATTAGTTTGGAAAGAGAGACCCTGAAGAATACCGAGAGCACTGGGGCATAAATATTTTTTGTTTATTATAATGTTTTGAGTTTGCTAAGGACTAATAAGACTAGTCAGACTAGGATGCAAGGAGGTTAGAGGGTGTAGTTAGGATATCTGTTCTCTCGAGGGAGGTGAGTGAGACTACTGTTTTGTGGGAGTGGAACTTGCACCTCTTCTACACCTCAGACATCTCAACTACACCCTCTAGCATCCTTGCATCCTTTTTAGACAACACAGCTGTGCTTTCCTCTGACCCTGATCCTGCAATCATCTCGGAGGAGCTCCAGGCACAGGTCCAATGGATAGCTGAATGGAGGCAAACTTTGGAGGATAAAAATTAATGCAAACAAATGCTCCCATGTTACATTTACCTTCAGAAGCAAAACACCCCACACAATATTCCTCAAACACATTTTTATCCCTAAAACCAACTGTGTACACTACCTTGTGTCATACCTTGAAACATGCTTAATCTGGAACTGACAAATACAAATAAAAAGATAGGAACTCAAGACTTCTCTATAAACTACTTACAACAAAAAACAAACTGTCACTCTACACATACTGAAACCGATTTGGACACGTGGACTAGAACTGTGAGGCACTACTAAACCTAACAACAGTGAACAAATTCAGTCTTTCCAATCCAAAGTCCTCAGAATCATAGTCATCACTCCCTACTGTGTCTCCAGTACCACCCTCCATCAAATTTTCTAAATTCCGTGATAAATTCTCCACTCACCCCAACCCATTAGCCCAATTCATACCAGATGACTAAAGCAAAGGTGGCCCTGGTGGCCCTCTCTGCCTCTGCCCTTGTGTAAAGTTGAGCGAACAACAATGGTTGCTAACTCCCCTCATGACATAGTTTTGTAAATATGTTTGATATTCCAAAAAATTAAAAAATGTATTATTATACAGATAGTAATTTTATTAGAAAAAAGAATAAAAGTTTTGTCCTTGACTGATGAGGTAGAAAGAAGCTGTCAATAAGAGAAGGAAATAAGAAATTCAGTCACCTTAATATGCAGAGCTCAATAGACGTGGACATAACTTGACCGCAACATCAGAAAAATGAGTTACTAGGAAGAAAATATGAGAAGGAAAGAAGAACAACAAAGAATAAGAGTGCTGGCAATGACCAATGTACTTTGCTAGTCCTAAAACTATTCATAATAATAATAATAATATGATGCTTTTGGGGCATTGGTGGCCGCAATGGTTTAGGCATTGACACGGCGCTCATCACTGTAAGGTGAAGGTCCTGGGTTCGAATCCAGCGGCCCTGCATTTGAACCCGACATACACACAAATGATGCTTTATTAAGAAAAATTACTAATTTTCATAAAGAAAAGTTATACAAAAACATATATGGCTTGGGTATCATTCACGTGATTCTATTAAAAAAAAAAAGAAAGAAGAAAAGTAAAAAAAAAAAAAAAAACTAAATTAAACCTTTCAAATACTGATTCATAGAGAGAAAACAATTAAAAATTGTATAAAATATTTATTTAGAAATCGTGAGATGAGGTCTGGTGTGATATAGGTTTCAGAAAAACATTTTCTTTATCGTGCCAACGTTTCGATCTTTATTGAGATCATCTTCAGGGCCTGGGATATACAAACATTGTTTAAATTTAACAAATACATCTAGGATGTTGAAAAAAGGGAATTTATACAATGCATAAAATATATATTTTTATATTCAATCAAAGTATTTCTACTCACTCAAAGTGTTTGTCTTCTGTGTACTTGTGTCATTCTTGGGTGTCGTGTCGAGAATGCCAGTGAGATTTTTCTATTTTGTGTTTATACTACTGTTTTTAGCTAAAGTATCTTTGCTATGCTGAACTAAATAGAGGAAGCCGGTTAAATAAACTTAAGGACTTTTTTTTCCACAGAAGTAGGCGAGTATAGTTTATATTTTCAATTTACTATTTTTTGAATATTTTTTTTAATTTACTTTGGATTTTGAAGGGGGTGGGGAAGGATGTCGGAATAGAAAAGACATTTTTGTATAAAGCGGTCGGCTTCTTAGAGGTGAAAAGAGCCGACGAAGGGAAAAAATGTGTTGGTAATGGTTCGGCCCGATTATCCTTTCAGGATTATATAGAAAGGGGATAAATAGGAAAAGGAAAGCTAAATTGTTGGGAAATTAGACTATGTGAAAAATATTTGATGTGTGGAATGTAATGTGATGATATAGGTATGTTATCTGTATTGAATTTGATTAATGATATTGGCGTAGCTGCGACTGAGTTTACATGTATCTGTTCTGTAATTGATGTTGTGTTTATCTATGTTGATATAAACCGTTTCTAAGAAATTACGTTTATGTTTGTTTTGTTCTGTGTGTAATACTTTTTGATTGTTGAAGTCGAAATTGTGTTTGTGTTCAAAATGGTGGGTAGCGAGTGCTGTA